AAAAGAAGAAATTAGGTTTTTATTAACGAGAAAAGTATTTCAAACCTATATAGATTTTTTGCGAAAATCGTCCGCAAAATAATGACAACTAATATATTTTTGCTCGCGAGCCACAAAAAAAGGCTTCACGGGCTAGATGCGGCCCCCGGGCCGCCAGTTGGAAACCACTGGTATAGCACGTTAATTTTTATTGCAACTAGCATGTTTTTTTTAGGAAACTTTCCTAATTTTAATTTCTTTCATTGTTTGAAAAAAATAAATTTTTATATTGTATTTTGAGAAAGATCATACTATTGCTAGCATAAATCTTAAGCTCGAATATTATTTCCTTATTATTTAAATGAAGAAATTGAGGAGCGAGAGTCTTTGACTGGTAAAAATAGGAAATTTTCTGGAAGAATCAGACTTTTTTATTAACTATATTTGCTTTGCGTTGCTTTTTGGAACTATTTAATCTCAGGTATTCTAATCTATTTAATGCCAATTCTTTTATGTTATAAAAAAACAGGGAAAATGGTTATTCTACATTCTATAAGGAAAATCTAGTTTTCAAGCAAGTTATTTTTTAATAACTTGTAGATTTTGAATTTAGAAAAATATAATAATTATTAATTGAGCATAAATAACTTAGATGACAATGATTTTTTTAACTTATTTTCGTCTAATCAATAGATTTTATAGCTTCAAAATTAGTATTCTAAATTTAAAATGATTGAGGATTCATTACGATAATCGATATTTTTGGAAATATAATTACTGTTTGAATAATATATAAATTTGAACAACATGTAAATTAGAAAAATATTTACGAAAACAATAGTAATTGCGGAAATTTTTCAAGGCGATCCAACAAAAGAAAAACAATTAAGATTTGAAACAGAATCATGCAGATATATTAAGTATATGAAATATATACAATTTTCATAATTAATATAATTTTAGTTCTAAGGTGTTCAAAAAAATTCAAAAATAAATTTAATGATGATAGTAAAAGAAAAATAAATAACATTTATTTATAAAATAAACTTAAAAAAAGCCATTTTGTGAGTTGAATTTAATTTTAGTTTCATTGGTTTAGGTTAATGCATAGTCTTAAAAATGAAATGTAACATATTTCAAATCATTGACAATTTCAATATTTTAACTTCAAAAATTACTGATGCTTTTTCTAAGGTAAAATATGTAACTATTTTGTTAGACATGAGAATAATCATTTCCCATAGCACATTTTATAATGTATAAAAACAATATTTTTTAACAACAAAATTACAAATAACATTGATTTAATTATCTATGTTGTGCTGTTTGGTGTTGTGTATTTTTTTTAATTAATTGTCATTAAGCATTTTAAAAAAGAAAAACAATGAAGCTAATCACAATTAATATTTTAATAAAATACATGCATTGTTGTGTGGCACTTTTAAGGAGATTAAATCTTACCACTGAACCCTATATTAGCCAAAAGTAAATATGAGGCATATGTTATTTGAGTGTGAAATTGTTTAATTAACAAACTCTTACTCTTAAGAATGATTTTCATGATAAACCTTTTGTTTGTGTAAGAATTCATATTTCTTTAATCCATGCTAGATGAGTGAACGTTCATTCTCTATTACGTCACATAAGTATAATTATTACTATTACACTCTGATGCAGAAACTATTTAATAACTAGAAAATATGATGTTAATGTTTTAAAACTCTCAGTTCATTCCAAATTAAACACTTTGAAATATAAATCAAAATAATATTTTTCAAACAATTTCTTTAATGTAAATTCTCAATGCTACACTATAACATTTAAACTCCATGAATAACTCTTATTTTTGTAAAGACTATAATTCAATCAGGGTTGGGTTTTTGCCGTCAAAAACAGGTTTTTGACATGACAGTGGTAAAAACCGTGTTTTTACCGGTAAAAACTGTCAAAAACCTACTGTTTTCTTTAATTTATGGCATATAGTGAACAATATATTATTTGCACTTAATTGCCTTTATAAATGAATGTCGTTGGTGGGACCGACATTGTGAGAACTATTAAAGCATCACGCATTAGGTGGCTGGGCCACCTCTTCAGGGACGAGACGTAGGGGACGACCACCTACAAGATGGATAGACGACGTTGAAAAGGACCTCAAGCTATTGGGAGTCAACCGATGGCGGGCCGTCGCACCGGACAGGGCCAGATGGAGGAAAATCTGCGAGTCAGCCTTGGCCTGTGAAAGGCTGTTGCGCTTATGAAGAAGAAGAAGAANTTTTACATGTCGAAGTCCAAAAACTGCGAAATCCTGCACAAAGTGACCCGAATGACGGTAATAAAAATGGCAGGATAAAATTGCCTCCTTATTTGCATTACAATTTAAATTAAAATCAAATATAACTTAGCGTTTGGTTGCTCACAAGCAGCAATGAATGGTTTTTGAGCAAAAAGAGAAAGGGGCGATGCGTGTCAACCAACCTCAAGAAGGGGACGATGGTCCACAAAAGGTAGGTAACTCGCCGCACTTTGCTATACTCATTGTTTCAAATTTATTTGGAAATATAATTATTGTTTGAATAATAAAATAAAAATATAAGTTAGAAAAATATTTACGAAAACAATAGCAATTGTGGAATTTTTCAATGTGATCCAACAAAAGAAAAAACAATTAAGATTTAAACAAAATCATACAATTATCTAATAACATTTGTTATGTCTATGAAATATATTTTCATAATTAATGCAATTTTAGTTCTAAGGTGTTTAAAAATATTCATAAACAATTTTAATGATGATATTAACAGAGAAAGAAATAACATTTATTTATAAAATAATTTTTAAAAAAACCTTATTTTGTGAGTTGAATTTATTTTTAGTTTCATATTGGTTAATGCATAGTCTTGAAAATGAAATGTAACATATTTCTAATAATTGGCGAATTCAATATTTTAACTTTAAAAATTACTGATACTTCTTCTAAGGTAGAAATACTTTATTAAATATGTATCTATTTTGTTAGACATGATAATAATCATTTCCTATAGCACATTTTATCTGCGTAAAAAGAAATATTTTTTAATAACAAAATTGCAAATAACATTGATTTAATTATCTATGTGGTGCTGTTAGTTGTTGAGTGTTTTTGATTAATCATTTAAAAAAAGAAAAACAATGAAGCAAATCACAATTAATATTTTAATAAAATGCATGCATTATCGTATGACACTTTTAATGAGATTAAATCTTACACTGAATTAAATCTTTACATTAGCCAAAAGTAAATATGAGATATATGTTATTTGAATGTGAAATTGTTTAATTAACAAACTCTTACTCTTAAGAATGATATTCATGAGTATAAGCGTATGAGTATGTTTTAATTTATTTTGTGCACATCATATAGCTGTTTTTGCACATTAAGTTAAACTGTCCTTCTTTCAGCATAAATAAACTCCAAGAGAAGTAATTTTTTGGAAGGAAAAAAAAAACTCTAAATTATCCTTTAACATGATTCAAAGCATTCCATTTTCAAATGAATACTATTATAAATAGAACAAAAAAGCTCCAACTGAATTAAATAAATATATGCTTCCACATTATAGTCCATTCCTCAAAGATACTATCAGTGCTTCTGGCTTTTACAAATAATAAACAGACCTTAGACCACTTTATTTTTCTGATAATAAATTGAAAATAACGATAAAAAAAATTATGAAAATAAATACAAAATTGAGAAAAATAATAAATTAAAAAAATCTTGGAAAAACAAAATGCAGTGTTGTTGCTTTTCCATAACATAATATATTGGCTTTTAGACATTTCTAACTTTGCTATACTCCTATACCACATATAAGTGTTCAAACGATTGAACATAATGTATGTTTAATTTTAAAAAATGTTCATCATGACCTACTTCGAAGACATACATAAAACTTTTTGTTCGTGTAAGAATTCATATTTCTTTAATCCATGCTAGATGAGTGAACGTTCATTCTCTATTAAGTCACATAAGTATAATTATCAATATCACGCTCTGGTACAGAAACTATTTAATAACTAGAAAATATGATGTTAATGTTTTAAAACTCTCAGTTTATTCCAAATTAAACACTTTGAAATATAAATCAAAATAATATTTTTCAAACAATTTCTTCAATGTAAATTCTCAATGCTACACTACAACATTTAAACTCCATGAATAACTCTTATTTTTGTGAAGACTATAATTCAATATTACTAATCAATTTTCAAAAAAGTAAAATTTTTAACTAATTAAATCTCTGACTAAATTTATTTTATTTTTGTGACTGGATTTTTGGTTTTGAATAAAATTGCATTTAACAGATATTTTGAAGTTAATCAAGCTTAGATGTAATCATGTTATGAGAGACGTTGAATCAGTAGGTCCGTGCTCAATAGATTTTAAAATTGGTTAAATATTATTGATCTTTTCTGTGAGAAATATGTAGCCTAAGTGTTACGTACAAGTTATTTTATATATCTAAACACATTGACTTGAAATAACTACTTTTTGCTAATATGAAAAAATTAAGTATAAATTTCAACAGATTATTAACATTTATCTAACAATAAAAGACAGACAACTTCTGAATCTTATTTACCTAATATAACTTAAATTTTTTTCTCAATTAGTGAAACTTTTATTACAAATATTAATACCAAAAGTTTTTCACCACTTGTCTTTTTTTTAAAAAAAAGAGAGAGAGAGAGAGAAAAAAAACATTTAGTAATAAAATTACAAGAGCTACTTTTATAAAAGTAATTGTACAACATGTGTTAGAAAAGATTTATTAAATAAAAGATGTTACAAATAATTTTAATTAAAAGTTGCTAGAATCCTTTTTTTTTCATTGAAAAAAAAAAAAAAAAAAACATTAACTTGAACTCAGGAATCTAATGCTAAGAAAATATATAACAATTTATATTTTAGTTAAACATAACTGGTTGTAAATAAATATAACACAGTAATCAAGCTAAATTAAAACCAATATGAACATGAATGCAAAGATTTAGATACTTTTTATTTAAAAAAATATTTTATCACATGCTTCAAAAATATGGTGTGTCACTAGTATCAACAATACTGTATATAGTCAGATGACATTTCTGAGAAAAACTCTTATTCCATTTTGCTACAACAAAAAGGTATCTCACCAGTGAAAACACAAACAGTAAAGACAGCTTTGGAAAAATTAAAAACTTTTTTTAAATATTAAAAGAATGGGTATTTATATATACGTCAAAGAATGCTCTATATTAAAAGAATGGGGTTTGTCACCAGCATATGAATAAAACTACAATAAATTAGATGGACCTTACGTGAAAAAAAGAAAACTTTTAAAACAAAACAAGAATATGGCTTTTAAATAGTGTGAACATGGCAGTTAATAGTTAGATAGTTCTTTCTTGAAAAATCTTAATTACATATACTACATAAGTAAAGTTTCTCACTACTATGAAGATGACTATGTTGAGTCAAACTACCTGCTCTTAATGAAAAACTTGTTACATATACTACGATAATAAGGCTTTTCACCACTATAAACACGAGTGTTTGATCAGACTACTTTTCAGTGAAAAAATTTTATTACACACCCATATATAAGGCTTCTCACCAGTGTGAACACAACAGTGTTTTCTCCGATAATTTTTAGTAAAAAAACTTTCATTACATTAACTACAAGAACAAAGTTTCTCCCCAGAATGAATACTACACTGTTTATTCAGAGTCACTCTATGTGAAAAACTCTTACAACATATTTTACAGGAATAAGGTTATGGGTCAGAATGAACATGATCATGTGTAGTGAGATGACTTTTTCGTGAAAATTTTTCATTACAAATACTACAAGAATACGGTTTCTCACCAGTATGAATACGACTGTGTCTTGTCAGACTACCTGTCTGTGAAAAACTCTTATTACATATACTACAAGAATAAGGCTTCTCGCCAGTATGAAAAAGACTGTGCATTGTCAGATTACATTTTAGTGAAAAACTTTTCTTACATATACTACAAGAATAAGGCTTCTCACCAGTATGAACACGACTGTGGACAGTGAGATGACTTTTTAGTGAAAAACTTTTATTACATACACTACAAGAATAAGGCTTCTCACCAGTATGAACACGACTATGTGCAGCGAGACCACCTTTTTGTGAAAAACGATTTTTGCATATACTACAAGAATATGGCTTCTCACCAGTATGAACATGACTGTGTGTAGTGAGATGACATTTTAGTGAAAAACTCTTATAACATATGCTACAAGAATAAGGCTTCTCACCAGTATGAACACGAGAGTGTTTATTCAGAGTCCCTCTTTCTGAAAAACTCTTATTACATTTACTACAAGAATAAGGCTTCTCACCAGTATGAACACGACAGTGTTGATTCAGAGTCCCTCTTTCTGAAAAACTCTTATCACATATACTACAAGTATAAGGCTTCTCACCAGTATGAACAAGACTGTGGTCTTTCAGATTACATTTTAGTGAAAAACTCTTATTACATACACTACAAGAATAAGGCTTCTCACCAGTATGAACACGACTGTGTGTAGTGAGATGACTTTTTAGTGAAAAACTTTTATTACATATACTACAAGTATAAGGTTTCTCACCAGTATGAACAAGACTGTGGTCTTTCAGATTACCTTTTAGTGAAAAACTCTTATTACATATACTACAAGAATAAGGCTTCTCACCAGTATGAACAAGACTGTGTATAGTCAGACTACCTCTTCGTGAAAAACTTTTCTTACATATACTACAAGAATAAGGCTTCTCACCCGTATGAACACGACTGTGGGTAGTGAGATGACTTTTTAGTGAAAAACTTTTATTACATATACTACAAGAATAAGGCTTCTCACCAGTATGAACAAGACTGTGTATAGTCAGACTACCTCTTTGTGAAAAACTTTTCTTACATATACTACAAGTATAAGGCTTCTCACCAGTATGAACACGACCGTGCGTAGTGAGATGACCTTTTAGTGAAAAACTTTTATTACATATACTACAAGAATAAGGCTTCTCATTAGTATGAACACAATTGTGTCTGGCCAGATTACCTTTTAATGATATAAGTTTATTACATATACTACAAGAATAAGGTTTCTCAGTAATATGAACGCGATTGTGTTGAATGAGACTATCTTTTTGTGAAAATTTTTTTTTACAGATACTACAAGAGTATGGTTTCTCACCAGTATGAGCATGACTATGTTTAGTCATGACTTTTTTCTGAAAAACTCTTATTAAAAACACTACAAGAAGGTTTTTTCCCCAGTGTGAACACAACTGTGTTTATTCAGAAGCTCACTTTGAGAAAAACTATACAAGAAAAAGGCTTCTCACCAGTATGAACACGACTATGGTTTGTCAGATTACTTTTTAGTGAAAAACCCTTATTTTATATACCACAAGAATAAGATTGTTCACCAGTATGAATTTTAGTGTTTAGTCAAACTTTTTCCTGAAAAACTTTTGTTATAATAACAAGAATAAGCTTTACTTACAGGATGATACTTATTCTGAATTAAATTAGGCTTTTAATAACATGATACAAAAAAGAGCATGCTGTATCAAGTCACTTATTTTGACTAAATTTTTAATTAAGTAAAATATAAATACTGTAGAAATATGATTATCTTACAGCAGACATATGATTTATTAATTGAGGCATCTGTGAAAGCATTAATTTAAAATATATTGAGATGTAAATATTTACTATTACTCGTAAACTACTTCAATAATATTTCTCTTTTGTTGAACATGCCAAGATACAAAACTAAATTATTCCACTTTATGTTTATCACAAAAAAACTGCAGAAACAATGTACAACTTCAAGTATTAGATCCAATGAAATTTGATACACTATGAATGAATGCAGTTTCAGACATAGTGTAAAATTAATGTTATTAGGAAGACATATTATAAAAATGAACATGAATAAACAATATTGATATTAACTGTTTTGAACATGAAATTATCAAATTTGATTTCATTTGTAATTTATTCACACAGACACTGCAGAAATATAGTTAAAAAAAAAATTTTTTTTTCACTTTCACAAACTCAAAAGGTTTAACATTATCTATTTAAAAAAACTTTGCCAATTTTTATATCAATGTTCTATCATGCACAAGAAAAGTAAGCTCTTATTCATTACCATAAATATGAGAAGGTCAAAAGAGTTTAATTCTATTTTCAAGTATTAAATTGCTTAACAGAAGTAAAATGTTTAACACTAAAAAAGTATAACTATGAACAACACTTGGGAACTTATAAACACATAAACTACAAACATTAAATTTCCATGTGTAAATATTTTTCTGTCAGAACATCATAGCAACTTCAACTATGACATACATTGCACAGATAAAATTTGCTGATAATATCACAACATAGAATGAGATTGCCTTTAATAATAATGTTTCCTTTTGCCAGAAAGAAATTAGACACACTTAATGACTAGTCTATTGATTATATAAATCATAAAACACAATCTTTAAAAAAAAAAAAGATTTATGCAGACACAATATAAATTTTATTTACTGTCAGCAAGAAGATATTTTATCATTCACAACGATTTTTATTTCGTATAAAGAAGATAATATATGAATTAGATCTGCATGGAAATAACCTTTTTAAAGCGCTTTCTATATTGCTTCCATATTGATTGTTGTAAGATTATGGATATGGAGACTTATAAATTTAACCTTCGGTATAAGTAAGAAAGTACGTTTTAATATAGTTTATCTCAGCCAAGAATTTTTCAACAAATAAGTTACAACTATCTTTTGCGGTGAGAGTTGGTTACGTTACTTCAACACACCTGATGTCCAGAACCTTGGGACAGTTTTTAAAAAGTAGAGGAAGCTTCTCCATAATATTAGCTTATCCTTTTTTAAGAGACCATGTATACTGTAGAAAACTGCATATGCAATAAAGTATGATGCTATTGAGAAAGTGATAGGGAGAATTTTTGCGAGTAGAGTATTTCGCTAATGGGGATATTTCCGTATCATCCCTCACTAATGAAGTCTCGTTTGCATCTCAGAATTCACACACATGAATTTTTAGCATGCACTGTTTTTGTGTCTTTGAAGACTGTTATCACAGTTTACATTTAACACACCTCTGATTGCTATGGAGAATGAATATGAGCTTAAATTGATGATGCTTTTCTCTCCACGATGATTGAAAGTGCGTTAATCACATTTCGTGTCAACACTCCCTAAATTAGAACAGATTTGTATACAAAATAGAAGTTTCGATATAAATTATATATAATATTTTAAGATATCCACCGTTTAAATTACTTACGCTTTTCTTGAATGGTAGAGTTAATTTAAACAGTCGCAGTTAACTGAATACTTCCTCGTCTTACAACAGTAGATGTTGCAGTTGAAATCTACCCTTAGTCAAGTATAATTTGTTTCTGGTATATATTCAAGTGGACAAAAATAGGATGCAAAAAGCATCAGTCAATCAACAAGTAAAAGGTTTAGGTTTTTCGGCGTTTGACTCACGAGAGGTTGTTTGTGGAGTGAAAAAATCTTTGGATGTTTTAATGTGAATCGACTGCAAAGAATAGTGATAAAGTAGGTCCTTTATATTTGTAGTAACGGATACTTCACCTCGGTTACTGATAAGAACTTCGTAATTTTGTTTTCTCCCGAGTTGGGAGTTTTCGCTCGTCGGGAAAGGAACCGCCCCCTTCTCCGACAGACTCTTCTGCTTCTTTCCAGGAAAACTGTAAGTTACAATTTTCCGTATAATTTGGAAATGTAAATAATGGATCAGAATGAATTAATGGATGAAACTGCTACAGAATATAGCAGTCGTCTTATTAAAACGAATACTAACATCCTCTTAGAATATGACGACACGATCCAAGACAAACTGACGTACGCAACGGACAATGGTTTAAATTCATACACGCTATTTTTCTCGCCAACAGGAGTAAACTCGTTTCCCAAAAAACCTTTGCAATTAAAAACAATTCTAACGAACGCTGTTAGCAACCCAAGGAAAATTAGTTTATGCACTCATACAAGACAGGGCAAACTACTTATTCAAACCTCAGATTTAGCTACAGCTTTGGAACTTACCAACCTGAATTCTCTATTTGATATACCTACCAAACCTGAAGTGATACAAGAAAACATTACATCTCGCTTCCTTCTGCATGAGATACCGTTAGACTTAAATCTTTGTGATTTAAAAACCGAATTAGAGTACAGCAACATCCAAGTATATAGTATTCGACGATTCCAAAAAAGGGGAGATACCGTCCCCTCTGAAACCTGCTTAGTAACCTGTTACGGAACACACACGCCGAAGAATCTTAGACTCTTCTATGATAGCATCCGACCCATAGCATTTTATGACCGCCCTAGACAGTGCCACAAATGTTACAAATTCTCACACTTAGAAAAGAATTGCCCCGCTCCTACCCAAATTTGTAGCCAGTGCAGTGGAAGTCATCACAAATCCGCATGCAACAGCCCTACAACGATCTGCAGTAATTGCACAGGGAACCACGCCTCCGACTATCCTGATTGCCAAGCACGACTAGAGGAAGCTCGATTTTTGCGCTTCAAAAACGAATCTCACTTAACGTTTCCAGAAGCTCGCAGACAATATAAATCACAAAAAGATAAACCAACGTTTGCATCAGTGGTGAAATCCGACCGATCAGAACAAATTGCGGATATCAAAGAAATAGTCAAAACAGCAGTAGCAGAAGTAGCTACAGTGTTTGACGCAAAACTCTTGGCGTTAACACAACGCCAGGACGCCCTCTTCGACAAAATATTCAAAGTTTTAGAAATNCTATGAACAGAGGCGTTCCGCAAGGATCTGTGCTCTCCCCATTCCTCTTCATGATTTACATGTCAGACCTGCATCGCATTCTCCCAGGTGACATAACTTGCCTCATTTTTGGAGACGACATCTACCTTATAGCAATCGCTGAAACCACCTACGAAGTAAGACATAAGATGCAATTTTCACTCCACCTTATTCAGGAATGGTGCAAGGACTGGTGCCTCGAAATCGTTCCGGAAAAAAGTGCCGTCATCAACTTTTCTAGAAGACGCTCAGGTGATAACTTCAATCTCAACATCTTTAATAAACCTATCCCGTGGACTCAAAATCTCCGAATTCTCGGACTTCACTTCTCCAGTAACCTGAGCTTCCACCACCACTTCAGAATTTTAAAACAAAAAATTTTAAAGAAACTCTCCGCTCTTCACTGTATTGCTACCACCCGCTGGGGAGCCCAGTCAGAACATCTTCTTCAAATCGTAAACTCATGCATCAGAAGTGTTTTAGACTTCGGTAGCCACATCTTTACCTCCTCAAGTGTAACAGGTTTACGAACCCTCGAAATCCTATACAATGCAGCGCTTAGGGTAGCAACAGGACTACCCCGATGGACACCCATTCCACTACTTCTCAAAGAAGCGGGAGTGAGCAAATTAGCTTCTCGTCACAAATGGATAGCAGCTAAATTCTACTTCCGGCACACCTCCCTACATTCATATTCTCCAGTCTTCCATCACCTAAATCTCCCACTATCCAGCTTTCCACAAGGTAAATCGGCCCCGCTTATACCATACATGCATAAATGGATGATTAGCAAGAACCTCTCCCAAAATGACATCATTAAATACCATACCCCTACTCCAATTCCCCCAAACGTCGTCATTCATTTAGACAACTTTGCATTCCAAACCAAGAATCTAGCCCCACCTCAGATAAGAGCCTTATTTAAAGAGTTTCGCTATCGAAACCTTACCAACAGCATTGTTCTGGCAACAGACGGATCAAAACAATTGGACAGAACCAGCGTGGGTATATATTCCTCTAAAGGTTATACGGTCTCTGGCCGAGTTCCGTCACAAACATCAGTCTTCACTGCAGAAGGATTGGCGATCTTCCTCGCCCTCAAACATTGTGTTACCAGCTACGAACATCATACCTTGCTAACAGACAGCCACTCAATACTTCAGTCCCTCTCCAAAGGCACTAGAAAATCTCCAAGAATCTCACTACTTCTCCTAGACCAAATAGCCAAATCTAGCCAAATTGCGAAGTCACTCTCATTTATCTGGGTCCCATCCCATACTGGTATTACTGAAAACGAACAAGCTGACCAACTCGCTAAACAGGCACTTAATCAAGATTTTATCTCGCACCTTTCATCACCCCAAGATCTTTGTCAAATGTTTTTGAGAGATGAGCTCAATAAAGAACACAGAGAATGGAAAGAGTGCAAATACTTCCAACCCTTTCCGCACCTCGACGAACCTCAAGGCTACCGCCCACTTATCAAGTCCCGAAAACTAGATGTGTTAATAGCCAGACTCCGAACGAAAACGCTTCCAACTAACGCGATTCTACATAAGTGCAAGTTAGTAGAAAGTCCTAAGTGCCCCAACTGCGGACATATAGACACGAACGAACACTACCTCCTGGACTGCTCTTTTTATCAAAATGCTCGTAAAGACCTCTATCAATCCTTATCCCTGCAGAGCCCAGCTTTCACTGATCTGGTTAACTTGTCTCTCAACTCCCGGACCAAAATCCAATCCCTCTTAAAATTCTTCCAAGCAACTAACAGATTCTAGCAGTTCGCTCCAACCTTGTGCTATCTACCCAGCCCCCAACCTGAAATGAGACTTATTTATTGAAACGCAGAGCTATAAGCGATAAGCAGAGAGCTCGCAGCACTTAACTATACTCAATACTTAATACTCAACAAGTAGTCCCTGTTGGATTCCGTGGTAGCATGTTGTATTTGAAGAAGAGCCTCAGAGCTCAAATAAATATTGGTAGGCTAAATTAAGCCTTACCTATTGAAACGCAGTGCTATAAGCGAAAGCAGAGAGCACGCCGCACTTTACTTTACTCAATACTCAATACTCAACAAGTAAAAATATTTGTGCGCGAACGGTGAAATAAAACTTACATTTTAACAAATTTACATAAATTTTTTACTTGTATTATGTAGTTAATTGAATATTTTGTTTAATGAAGTATTCAATTTCACCAATTATCTAAGAACCTGTATTAAGTCTGTATTCAAATGTATTGCTCTTTATTTTAATTTTTTTTTCTTCTCACCAAATCATAGAATCGTTTTGTATTATGTTTCTTTTTATAATAATATTTTATATTACTGCTACATGTTTGTATATTTGGCTTTATTTTTGAGCAAAAAATTAATTTCAACAAAGATAGTTACCAATTTAAAGGTTTGTGTAGTTCAATTTATGCTCAAGTGTATCTCAAAAATGCAATTATAGAAATTGTTTTCATCAGATAACATGCTTTTTAACTTTCTTTTAAGGCGCTAAACAAATTTAAAATTTTCAAAATTTAAAAGAAATTATGTTGAGTTTTGCTTTTGGATGGCTATGAACAAAACTGACTGAACTCTATGCATTGGTCTCCTTCTGTTTTTTTTTTGTAAGTTATTGCTTGGAAGTGACTAAAACTTGACGCTTAATATGCCGTAAATGCCGCTACAAAAATTCCTTCTTTTGTTTGAATCTGATTATTAGCAAAGTAGGAAGTAGAAATGTGAGGTGTAGTTAAATACATTGTGACTCATTGAAAGTTTCTTAATGATTTTCTGGTATTTATCCTCATGTTAGAGTCTGTTTCAACCAAGTACTATCGCTTAAGTGCCTCTGCCGAAATTTTGAACTGTAAAAAATATATATAATATTCGCTTGCCAGTGAAGGGATCAGAGCTATACCTACCAAATTTGACCTCTTCTATAATGATTTCTTTAGTTTCTTGCAGACCTCTGATGTTGTTGAAACTTTTTTCTGGGGACTACTAATTAAAGGAAGCTAAATCAATTACATTACAGAACCCATTGTCCGGAAATTGGAAAACCAAAAAACCGGAACGAAATTCGATAAATTTTCCCGCAATTTTTTTAATAAAAATGTTTTTTTTCCTCTTAAGATTTTAGGATTTTTCTTTCTTTTTTGAAAGATGTTTACCTTACCAACATTTTCGAAACAATTATTAGTGTATTACTTCATCATTTTTTCTTCTTTTTAAGATTATTTCCAAATATTTATTTTTTTTAGTTGGGTTTAACATTAAAAAAACTGCTTTTTGTAGCGATTCAGAAAACTGGAAAAATCAGTTATCCGGAATAGCAATGGTCCCGATCGTTCCNTCATCATTTTTTCTTTTTAAGATTATTTCCAAATATTTATTTTTTTTTAGTTAGGTTTAACAATAAAAAAACTGCTTTTTGTAGCGATTCAGAAAACCGGAAAAATCAGTTATCCGGAATAGCAATGGTCCCGATCGTTCCGGATAATCGGTTCCCTACTGTATTATTTTTTTCAGAAGAGGAGAGAAGAACAATTGATTAAAGTCTATTTAAAAAAAAATTTGTTTTTTGTTTTAGTTGAACACATTAATTAAGCTTCAAAAATGTTTTTAAATTTATTAAAAGGCATTTTATTATTAAAGAACAAAAAATAGTCCTATGTTTTAAATAGTTATAAGTAATATGCTACAGCAATTTTTTATGTGCTAATATAAAGTTATCTCTATTTAAAACCTGTATAAGTTGATCACTTTAACATACCTGTAATCTAGAGCAAAAGCACCATGATTGAAGATTCTCGCTTCCTGAAAACTTGATGGAAAGCACCTTAGAAAAAAGAATCCTTGTTCATTTTCTAAAAAAGATGCATTACTGTATTGGTTAACATGTACTGTAGACTTTCAATTAACTGTGATAGCAGGTGAACTGTAGACTTTCAATTAACTTAGATAGTAGGTGTACTGTAGACTCTCAATTAGCTGGGATAGTAAAAAATGTGTCTACGGAGATAAAAGAATTACAACACAATTTTTTTTAAATAAAGGAAAATATAAAACATTTGCATTGTAGTAAATAATTTAGTTATCTAATATAAAAAGAGAATAAAAATTATAGCTTTGTGGCATATACCTTTTATACCTTTGTCTCTGAAGGTCTTTCCTCACATTGGTGACCTGCGGACATGATGTGATCACGCCTACTTCGATGGGTGGTCTACATTGAATAGTTGACTTGCTAATTTCAATAAAATTATTGAAATTTGGTTTTTCGCCAGTTTTTCTATGCAAATGTCTTCAACAGCTTTTTGTGAAATATCAATATATTCCACATGTTATTTTGTACCACAGACAGTTTCTAACCAATCAGAGATGTTAATATTTGGGCATCCCATATAATCTGAAGCAAGGTAATAACTGCAAGTGACATAGTGTGGGTATCTCGATCCTGATTGGTTGTTAAAATGTGGTATTTCCTTACGTTAGTAACTATTCTTGACGCCCGGTGGCTGAGCGGTAGCGCTTCGCGCTGTCGAGCCACAGGTCCCTGGTTCAATCCACGGGCCGGGCAAGGTTGACTCAGCCTTTCATCCCTTCAGTGGGTCGATAAATGAGTACCAAGCATGCTTGGGAACTAAACACTGGGGGTTTTGTGTTCGGCTGACCACCTAACCAGAACATCTGCTCCTGCACCCCAGAGCCCAAAAAAGGTCAAGAAAACTGAGATGGGCACAGTAGGCCTTGGCCCTCTATGGTCTGGCACACCACTGAGTTTAGTTTTAGCAACTATTCTTTCCATTCTATTTCAAGTAAGCCATGTCCGTCATGTATCAATTCACTTAAGTGACACATTCTATATTCTCACACTAAGATTCTTTCACAAAGATTTTAATTCTTTCATTATATATTTCTTAACACCAAGACAGGCATGAAGCCATGTAGAACAAAAACAAACTAACTGTGCATCAGAACTGCCTGGTACATAAAACAAAAATATATCATGGTTACTGCAAAATACATAAACAAATAATCCTAAATTAAGTAAACGATGTAGACGAAAAAAATTATATATTTCAACAAATTCAGTGTGCGATACAGTGCTGTATTTAATTAACTTCACATTAATTAGCATTCTAACTTATGTAGAGAAACTTATCTCAACTTAAATATGCCAGAAACTTAGCTCAACTTAAACATGCCATTTTGCTTATGAAGGATTAGCTGGTGCTGACATCATAGATTGTATGTGTGGTTATCTGTGATCTTCTTTAAGTGCAAGTACCCAATTGAGACTGCTACTATGCTATTTATAAAGTTTTCTGAAATTATTGCAGATTGATGCAATTACTGTGATGTCTACAATTGTATAATATTTTTTTCATGCTATTTGTAAATTTTCCTGGAATTATTACAGATTGATACCAATTACTGTGATGGATGTTAATGGACTACTGGTTGCAGCAAGTGAAATTTTAAAGTATGATAATGCTCTGAGTTTCTGTTAAAATATGAAAATAGTTTTTCATTCTTTTAATTGTTCTGAACTGATTGCATATTTTAAAACTTATTTTTTATAAACTAGACATAACATTTTTGTCTTTAAATTAGAAGGTTAAAATTAATTGAATGAGTTACATTCAATTTACATTGGCTGGTTATTTTATTTCAATACATCTCACTTAAATTTAATACTAATTTTAATCAGTCATCTCTTCATCGCATTCATGTAGTAATTAAACTAGTAGATTTTATGATCTCTCCTAAAGGATATTTAATTTGAATGACAATGTTCTGTGATTCATCCCTTTTGGTGTTAGTTGTTAGCTCATATGCTTACTATACACTGATATACTATATTGCACTTTTTTAGTATGTTAGTCACATCATCTACATTTTTTTTTACTTTAAAAGAACATTGTAAATTTCACATTTACTTAATTTTATGTGTGAAATTTTTTGATATTATTTAATATTAAATGACCTATTTATTAAGATAAAATGATAAACTTTTTGGGAACATAAAATCTCTATTAAAACACTTTCTTTAAGCAATTTATTCACTCTTGTAACTAATTTCAACCCTATCATTGATATCTAATTTTGATAAAATTTGTTCGAAAAGCCACTGATTTTTTTTTATTAAGTGTTTTATTTTTACAACACTTTTTATTGATTGTTATGCATTTTGGCACATTTTTCTTTGAATTTGACAGTTTTTGAAGATATAAAACTAGTTATTGATTTACCAAATTTTCTGTTATTGTATCTGATTTTTCTAATATTGACTATAGTGTAGAATATTAAAATTTTAACCATTTATTTATATATATATATATTTTCTTTTTATTATGCAATTTATATACATGCAATGTATAATCAAAATACATATACATTGACATTTCATGAGCCTACTCTACAATTCAGTATATCATTATAATCAGAACTTACATTGTATAATAATGAGTAATGTTAAAGAAATTTCTGTGATGTTGACAAATTTTCCCCAAACTACATTCGTGCATTATGCATATCTAGACATAAATAATAACCATCATCATCATAGTTGGCCAGACAGCCCAGTGTGAGCCAATGCCTTCCTCTGAAGATTTCTCCATGATGACTTCCGATTTATCTTTGATCTCCAATACTTTTCTTTAATTGCAAGAAAATCAGACTCCACTGAGTTAGCCCATCTCAACCACAGCCTTCCCTGCTTTCTTTTTCCAGTGGGTCTAAAAAGCAGTATCTTTTTTTATTGTATTGTTATCACTCATTCGAATCACCTGGGCCATCTAATTCATTCTGTTTATTTTTATATATTTAATAATATCAGGTTGTTTATAAATCTTGTACAGTTCAAAGTTAAATCTCCTTCTCCAGTTGTTGTTTTCATTTACTCCACAAGTATACTCCGCAAAATCTTTCTCTCAAATATTGCGATACAATTTCCCCCCAGTTTTGTCATTATCCAAGCTTCAGAAGAGTATGTCAAAACTGGCCAGACAAGAATTTTGTTGATTAAAAACTTTGTTTTTCTAGAAAGAAACTTAGATTTAATAAATCTTCTCAGCCCTATTTACCAGATAGTCGGTTTTTTATTTCAGGAGTAATTCTGTTGTCAATGGTAATACAGTACAGAACCCGTTATCCGGAAATCAGAAAACCGGAAAACCCAAAAACCGGAACGAAATTCGATACATTTTCCCGCCATTTTTTGAAAAAGAAATGTTTTTTTCTTCATAAGATTTTCGGATTTTTCTTTCTTTTTTGAAAGATGTCTACCTTACCATTTTGGAAATAATTATTAGTGTATTACTTCATCGTTTTTCTTCTTTTTAAGATTATTTCCAAATATGTTTTTTTTTTGTTGGGTTTAACAATAAAAAAAAACAGCTTTTTGTAGCGATTCAGAAAACCGGAAAAATCAGTTATCCGGAATAGCAATAGTCCCGATCGTTCCGGATAATCGGTTCCCTACTTTAATTGATCCTAAGAAAGTAAAACTCTTTACTGTTTCAAATCTATAAGAATGTATTTCAAGATAAGTGTCTGGGACTCTGTTTCTTGAGAATTATATATATTTTGTTTTCTCTACATTTGTGACTAAGCCCATTTGCCTTGCAGCCACCTCAAGGGCAAGAAATGCCTCTTTCAGGGTAGGAAGGGAACAAGCAATTATATCAACATCATCAGCATATGCAAGTAGTTGTACTGATCTAGTAAAAATGTGACCACTGTTATTGATGTTTGAATTACGAATAACTCTCTCAAGTGCAATATTAAAAAGAAGACAGAAGAGAAAATCTCCCTGTCAAACACCCGTAAATGTGTCAAGATTTTCTGACAGAGACCCCAGAATTTTAATCTTACACTTCTTATCGTTCAATGTAAATCTCGTGAATTTAATGAGTTTTGAAGGTATTTTAAAAGTATTCATGGTTTCAAAAAGATAATTTCTATTAATACTATAAAAAGCAGCCTTGAAATCAATAAAAAGATGTGTTTCAATGTTAAATTCCATTGATTTCTCTAAAATGTGACGAAGACTAAATATATGGTCTTTTGTTGATTTTCCTATGTGTGAGTCAGTGAATGGTAACAGCCTGAGAATAAAATTCTGGATAGAATTTTATAAGTTATACAAAGAAGACTAATGCCACGATAGTTGGCACAGGTTATAGGATCTCCTTTCTTGTGAATTGGACACAAAATGCTAATATTCCAATCTGTTGGCATAATCTCAGAGTGCCCGATGTCAGTAATAAGTTCAAAGTCAGGACATAAATAATAATAATAATAAAATAATCAATATTTTATGCAATGATAAATGTTAGATTAACAGTGTAATTAGTTTTCAGTTTATTTAGAATAAATATGATGGAATACATTTGAGTGTATTTACGTGCGCCCGCAGGAGCTTTTGCACATGATGAAAATTTTTTTTTTGAGAAATGTTTGAATCTCTTTTTGGTGTGGTCAATTTGTACAGATTCTATTGTAAATCTATGTTGTGTTTCGATAGTTTTTCAACGATTGGAATTTCGCATGGTTTTAAACAATCTGATATTTTCAATACGATATTGCTATCTGGGAATTTCGAATTTGAGTAATAACTTTTTGAATTGCTATATTTTTGCCAATTTCATCGCTAATCCAAGTAATGATTCATTTTTTTCTTTTGCCATTTATAGTTACCAATTTCCATGTGGTTTTTAAAATTCTGATACATTTGTTATGTTAATTCTACTTGTGAATCATAAATTGCTCATTTAATATATCACTTTCTGACGTGCTTTATTTGTGCCAATTTCATTGTAAATATAAATTATTTTTTTTTTAAAGGCAGCTACTGCTAGACTTTTTCTTGTGGTTTTGAGAATCCTGTATTTTTACTAAAATATTATTATGACACACAAGTTTTAAATCGCACATTTAAATAACCATTTTTTGACACGCTTTTTTTCCACCGATTTCATCGTAAATCTAAGTTATTTTTCTGTCATTTTTCCAACAATTTTTGTGATGTGTTCCCACATTGTTTGAAATTTTAAATCATGTATTTCAAATCATGCATTTAAATAATTTAGTGACATGCTTTATTTGTACTGATTTAGTCATAAATTTTAGCTTTTTTTTTCTTCAATTATTGGGATGCTTTCCCTCGTGATTTTGATGATTCTGTTGCTTTTACTACAACGCATGAGTTTCTAAGTGTGCATTTAAATATTCGCTTTTTTATACTTTTAATTTATGCATAGTTCATTGTAAGTGTAAGTTATTTTTCGTCGTTTTTCAGCATTTAGCTTAGCGTCATGCATTTGTAAGTAGCATTTAGAATCTCAAATTATTATACAATGTTATTGCAACCTGTAAAATTTAATAAAGTGGAGAAATTTTTAAACTTTTCACTGTTTGTAATTAATTTTGTTTTAAATTTTTTGTAACTTAGGTGATGTTTTTAGAAAGACAAAATGTTTCTTATTTAAATTTCATAAAACCTCTTATAATTCGAGAAATAGAAATAATGTCTGAAGTATAATACCAAATAAATATTGAATCTTATTTTGTACTATTATGATTTTATTTTAATTTTTGGTTTTTGTAAATCTTCTAAATTTTCTCTAATTAAAATATGTATGTAGTTTTTTTTCATTTTTGTTATGTGTACAATTTTTTTTTGTTAGAATTTTTATTTTCTCCCCCCTCCCAATATTTATGCATATATTTTTTTAATAAATCAGTTATTGATAATAAGGGAAAAATTTTTTAGAATAAGTATCAGTTTTTGAATGAATTCTAATAATTAAAAGTATTTAATTTTCAGCAAATATACTAAATTATTTTTGATATAAAATTTGAATGATTAGAACACTAGTGTTCGTATAAAAAATATCATATTTGGCGCCAACCTGACTAAATATGCTTGTGGCCCTTCGTTATTCATCCTACTGAGCAAGTGGCTCTTCACTGCCCTTCACTAAAAAAGGTTATGCATTCCCTAGTCTAAAGTTTAAATGATATTTACCAAATTGGTTTTTAATTAATAATTTATTCTACATTTAATAGTTACAATCTTCTTCCACTTGTAGTATAGACATATCACAGGCGTGTTTAATGAAAACAAAAATTGCAGGAAATAATAGTGAAGAGCCTGATTGAGAGAAAATTAGGCTATTACTAAATTTTAAATAGTAGGTAATAACCTGATAGAAATTGGTGGAAGATAAATTTTAGAAATTTTGATTCCCTGAATACAAAGCAGGATCTTTTGAAAAATGTTATAATGGATTCTTTAATTGATAATGCTAGTTATTTATAAAGATTCAGTGTTTTGATAGCCCTATGAACCAGGCTGAAAATAATTCCTATAATTTGAAAATGTAAGTTCTTTGGTTGTATATGTTTTCCTACTTTTATATGTTTCAGGTTTGAACAAGGGAACGCTATATTATTTACTTTCTGGAATGAGATTATGAAATTTTCATTCTATGTTTTATTTGACGTAAGTAAGTATTTAACACTCAAAAACGCATTTCATTAAACATTATGATTTGTTATATATTTTGTGAAATTTCCCCCGAATAGTAACTAAAGCGGTAGCCTTAGGAAAAAAATTAGATATGGTTCCATCTTTTTTTTTATTTGTTAAATGTGTATTTTGTGTTGTTAAAATTAGGCATGGTAAAAGTGAACTTTAATAAGGTTGCATTATTTTTTATTTATTTTACCTATTTGGCATATGACAAAAGTGACACTAATAAAAATGCTCTTAAAGCGGTTGTTGATGCAAAAAATTACCATTGTATAGTGGCTGAGTGTAAAACTATTTCAGAAGTAAATAAATGTTTAACCTTCGTATAAACATAAAACAATACTGTCTGTAAAATATTTGATGGCTACTTTTGGTTAAATTTTATGAGATTTAACATGAGCTCTTGTTTTTGTGTATGTTGCAAATTTTAATATCTATATTCTATAGAGCTACTGAAACTGATATCTGTACGATTACTGTTACTGATAATACAGTTACAATATCTGTATCCTAATACAGATAGGGTATATTTTATGTTATTTATAACTAAAGCTAATTTCTCTGAATAAAGCACAAAAACTGGCATATTATAGTTTTAATTCTATTTGCAAGAAACTTCCTCATTGACAATATATATAAAAAAAATTTCAAGTTGGATAGCTTTATTCTTATTTATCTGTATATCGGATTTTGCATAGATATAGCAAAAATAGGCCGTTTTACAATATGTATAGGAAAGAGTAACTAATTCAATTTTTAACTGCAAAGCTTGTTATAGCTTATATTTTCAAATCCCCAACTATTTGTACTCATCTTCAAATAAGAATGTTTTTTATAAAAGAAAAACAAAATTCGTTACTGAGTAGGTTACTATTGAACATAATTGGTTAGTGAAATTTCATGAAGATTTGATAATTACATGGTAAATCATCAGGATTTTAATAAAATTTTTAAAACAGTAGAAATTGTCCAATCAAAAGTTTTATACATAAAATCATTGACATCTCTGTCATGTATATCTATTGTCAATATAATTCTCTATCCCTTAGTTCTTCCAATAATTCTAATTTAGAAAAATTTTCCTCAGCGTTAATATGTGACTATTTTTTTTAAATAGTTGGTATAAAATTATTTCTATAATTGATTTTCTGGTTTTCTATTCTCATATTTATTTTTACTGTTGTCTACTCTATATTTTATTACTGTAATTGTATCTATTGTTTTTGTTTTTCTTAAATATTTTTCATTTTAGGTGAATTCTGTCCATGTGTGTGATGTTCAAGTTAACAAATTTTATAAATTCACGGATTTAAAAGTTGGTTGCTTAGAAATGGTACTTAAGTTATTTCTTTGTACAATTTGTATTAAATAAATTGTTTAAATTTTGTTATTTAGAAAATTGAATTTCTAGTTCGATTTTCTGTCATATGTTTTTAACATTGCTATAAGATTTAGTTAGTCTAGATATTTAGTACTGAATAATTCAATGATATAGAAGATACTTAAAATATTTTTTTAAATAAAAAAAGAGAACTCCATTCAAATAAGCATGCTGCTGTTAATGTTATGGACGATTAACATACCAAGTCTCTTATTAAAAAGTGAAATCATGCAGATAAGATGCATATCTTATAATTTAATCTAAAAGTTACAAATTTTATCTAAGAGTTATTTATTTATCTGAAACTTTTTTTGCTAATACTTTAAAGTTGTCTCATTGGGAAAACTCTGGTTGTTGTAAATTAATGACAATTTTAATTTTCTGTCTAAGAGTTATAGCAATTTCAATTTATTTTGAGATTTTAACTTTGTGGATGCTTAAAAACTTAATCTTCAAAGATAATTTCAAAATTTTTACTATCTTAATTATATTTTCATTTTAATTATGATTGTAACGTTTCTTTAATTCTAATTAAGATATCAATTGATTTACTTTGTAGGTTTCTGGTAAAAAATTGATTTTATTCAAGACAATGCCTAGTTCCTGTTATTTTGAAATTGATAAAGAAAGAAATAATGAAGTATGACATTAAAAAACTTTTAATTTAAATCAATCTGAATTATATTAAATTTTTAAATTGTGTATATGTGTACAGTTATGAAATTTAGTTGAAGTCTTACAAATTCTTTATGAGTCTTTAGAGACTTAATTTCTTTTCATTTTATATATTGTTCCATGTATTGTTCTTAATGATATTAGGAATAATCGATTACTACTATTCAGCATTCAGCCTACTTGGTCCAAAAGCTGAGTCTTTAGTTTAGCCAATAAATAATATATTTGGCCAAATGTTAAAAAGAGTCCTATATATGTATAATGCAAGTTATTTTAAATTTTCTTAAAGGTTCTTTTTTTGATTTTTCATTTTGTAAAAGCTCTTAAAAGTGCTTTTTTTAGTGGGTGTTTCTAAGAAATGCTTAATTTTCATTTTTTCCAAAGTGAGATTTTTCTTTGCTCTGTTCTCTGTTGATTTTAGTCATGAATGACCCGAAAAGCATAGTTTTCTGAAAAAAATTATGTTCATTTCTTACATTCGACACCATGGAGTTGCGCAGTTCTAAAAACAAAAAAATATTAACTTATCTGAACTAAGAAACCATCTAATTAGATTGGAATACTTAAAATTTTCTAATTTTAAATAAGAAAAATAATGAATAAAATTTAAAGAGTTTTATCTAGTTTTTTTCTAAAGAATGTACAACAAGAAATTTGACAATTTTGCATTTGCGGATACTGAATATCTCTTAAAATAAAAGTGCTAACTCAAAACAAACAACATTTTTTAAACGTTTGACTTTGGATATTAACTTAAGGAAAAATATGTGAATGAATTNTTTTCATTTTATATATTGTTCCATGTATTGTTCTTAATGATATTAGGAATAATCGATTACTACTATTTAGCATTCAGCCTACTTGGTCCAAAAGCTGAGTCTTTAGTTTAGCCAATAAATAATATATTTGGCCAAATGTTAAAAAGAGTCCTGTATATTTATAATGCAAGTTATTTTAAATTTGCTTAAAGGTTCTTTTTTTGATTTTCATTTTGTAAAAGCTCTTAAAAGTGCTTTTTTTAGTGGGTGTTTCTAAGAAATGCTTAATTTTCATTTTTTCCAAAGTGAGATTTTTCTTTGCTGTGTTCTCTGTTGATTTTAGTCATGAATGACCCGAAAAGCATAGTTTTCTGAAAAAATTTATGTTCATTTCTTACATCCGACACCATGGAGTAGCGCAGTTCTAAAAACAAAAAAATATTAACTTATCTGAACTAAGAAACCATCTAATTAGATTGGAATACTTAAAATTTTCTAATTTTAAATAAGAAAAATAATGAATGAAATTTAAAGAATATACAACAAGAAATTTGACAATTTTGCATTTGCGAATACTGAATATCTCTTAAAATAAAAGTGCTAAATCAAAACAAACAACATTTTTTAAATGTTTGACTTTGGATATTAATTTAAGGAAAAATATGTCAATGAATTTTATAAATCTGTTTGGATAAAATACAGTATAAAACGGCTCTATATTGAAATGAAAATAAATATGAAAATTTATTGATGTGAAATTCCCTAGAATTATCTTCTTTTGCATAATGAAAATATGTTAAACTGTTATTATCCAAGTTTTTTTTTTTTGGATTACTTTGTATTTGCTATTTGGTACATTTTGTGCAAGGACTATAAAACATTTTTTATTGATTAAAAGCAATATATTCTACAAGCTAAACTTATTATTTACCCTACACCTATTCAAGATGATATATTAAAAAAATAACATTCTAAATAAAATACTTCATAATATTGACACTCTTTTTATACCAATCTACACTTAATGAGGGGGGGGGGGAAACCTGCTGACCTAGAAATTTGAGATTTTTACTGGATAACCTTGAAAAATCAGGGAAATTTGAAACCTGATTTGAGTGGGGTAAAAAATCTGTGTTATGTGGTTTCTACAAAAAATCTTGTTATTAATATGAGTTTTGAAAATTATGTAAGATTACAACTTTAGTATTTTTTTAAAGCTGAATCTGAATAATTTATGAAAATCATGTGTTTCTATCAAAGAGATTTTTTTTTGTTGGCACAAATAACTAAAAAGGTCGAGTTTTTGAATTTTATGTGTCATTTTTCTAGTAAGAAAAAAAATTTGAATGTATGCATTTTTGATTCAGTTCTTTAAAACAGAATTTACAGTTGTGAAGATAAAAAATTTTTTCTTCATCTTATTAAAAAACATCTTTGATTAAAAAACAAAAATAAAAAGATATAATTCTTTATAATATTATTTCGTTTTTTATTATGTTATTTCTTATTTAGTTATATTATTTCTTATTTAGTTATATTATTTCTTATTTAATTATATTATTTCTTATTTAATTATATTTCTTATTTAATTATATTATTTCTTATTTAATTATATTTTTTCTTATTTAATTATCTTATTTCTTATTTAAATTTCTAAATTTCTCATGATTTTTCTAAAACATGGAGAGTTTTTTATTAAAATATTACTATAAAATTTATTACTCTTTAAATTTATACAATATGGTATGCATACAAGCTAAACTTTTTCAATTTGTATTTAATGCAATTAAATACTTATGTATATTCTTATGTATTTAATATTTACAAAAAAATCTGTTTAAATTTGTTAATATTATTCACTTTTATGAAATTATTCCTGGTATCTGCTTTGTTTTGAACCCTGTCAAATTACTTTCATTATCAGTTTATCACTTATGTAACATGCATGTGCTTTTATACAGGTTTATCATACGATTTGTCCAATAGAATGACATAGTGTAGAGATTTTAGCTAACTTATAACACAATATTTTAAATAGTTATGTTGTTTACAAATAGTAATTGTTTCTTTCTTTTTGCAGTTTTCCATAACAGCCAAATTAAAAGAACTTGTATCAAGTTCTAAGATTAAGGAATGTATAGAAACTCAGTGTAAAGCTGGATCACCATTAATATGCTATGAGGTAAAATGTTGTATAATGAATTTTTTTCAAGGATTGTATAACTTTCTTGATTTACATCATGTAATTTTTGAAAGTTATCATCAGTAGCATGCTGTAAGTCGGACCAAGTTAGCCCTCTTTCTTTCTAGAGTTTAGTGTTTACTAATTTTTAAAACAATTAAATCAAAAAAGTCAAAAAATATGTATATTTATATACCTAAATGTTTTAAAAACTGCTAATGGAAGAGAAACTGATTTGCTAACTGGTAACTTTGAAAAACAGTGTTACTATGGATGATTGACTGAATGTAAACAATAACAATCCTACAACTGGAAGAAATTTAGAAAACTTTCGATGTATCCCTCTGCTTACGAGGCCATATGGGAACAGGCTTTATATTCTAGGAAGTTTATTATTGTGATATGTGTTTAAATTTGCTCATAATTTCAAGATTCCTAAGAGTTTTCAGTAATTTTTAAATTCTCGCAAGTCGTGAGCCTAAAATAAATTTAAGAAAAATAATATTACAACATAAATAAAATGTAAGGTTTGAGAGTTCTTTCATATTTTGAGAGTTCTCTTATTACTGTCTGTGATTTATTTATTTTTTTATATAGCATCATAGCATGCTTGAGGTGTCTGAATTCATTTGTTTGTTTCATTGAAATTTAAATTGAAAGAATGTATTATATTGTAACCACTACAGTTATAAAGATATTGGATGCCATGCTTTTTCAAGCTTGGTTGTAAGAATCCAGCGAAAGTGGTAACCCGGAAATCTTACAGTGAATTTTTACCCCTTGCATCATCTGTGCTTCCATTTATGCGATCCATAAAAGGCATTGGTATGTGAGAAACAAACATATTTCTCTAGATTTTGTTTTTAAATGAACAGGGCTGATTGTGCTCCGGAAAAAATCCTGATTTCCGGATTTTTCGCTAACAGTGATCCGGAAGTTTCCGGAGATCGAAAGTCCAGACGTTTAAAAAAATCATTGATCACTTAAGTTTCCGGAAATCAAATTTTTAAAGGTGGAACTTAAAAACACAGTTTATTTAATTTGTTTGTAAGGGAGAGCCACAGAGATACTTTATAAGCTTATATTCATGATTAATATTCATTTTTTATCACTAAATAGTTGTTATAATCATAAACTCAAAAAAAAAAAAGACATATTTGTAAATTTTAATTACTTCTCCAGGTCATCATAGGTATGTGTAAATGGTATAGGTATGTGTAAAATTTTAAATATATTTTTAGTAAACTAAGAAATATTGAGAAAAAGGAAAAAAAAAAACCTTGTTTCAATTTTTTTCTAATTTTTCAATTTAAACTGTTTTTTCTTTGTTTTTTTTTTTCAAATTCAGGAAATTTTCCGGAATTTTGACTTGGACTCACAATCACCCCTGAATGAACAAGAACACTATTCTGAACTCTGTAATTAACTGTCTGGTAATTTTTGTGAAGATTTATTTTAAGTTATGTTATGTGTCATTTTTAATGAAATTATAAATGGAAGACAGTTGAAGAGGTAAAGTCAAAGATCAGTGAAAAGTCAGGTTTTTCTCTTATGTTGTATTTTCAATCATTTGCTTTTGTATGCAGTTGTAAAGCCTAGTGGCAGAACTTACAGATTGAATCTGCAACACTATCATCATAAATTTACATTTGTCTGCATCCTCAGACAGAGTATATTTGCTTTTACTTTGCCATTGATTGTAAAATTTTGACTTAATCTCACATACATGTTTCAAAATTTAAAAATATAAGGTTCTAAAAAATTAATGATGAAAGACCTCATATCTGTTTTTTTTTTAAATTCAAAATAAGATTTGAAAAGTTTCAAAAAGAAATCTCAGTAATTTTTCCTCTTTTTTATTTATTTTTTGAAATAAAAAAAAAACTTAAATGAAATATAAATCTGCAGATGCTGTAATAATCTGTAAATTTTGCTACCATGCTAATATGTTTTTACTGAAGAGTTTATTGTTAACTTGGTTGACCTACTTTAAAAACTGTACTCCCCATTTAACTGTAATTCCCCATTAAACATTACTCCCCATTTATTGTGTTTTTTTCTTATATATATATATATATGGTATATATTATACTTGTTTTGAATCATATTACCATAGTGTTCGAGGTAAGACTTGCGTAATATAATCTCTGTTAGATAATTTTTAAAAATAGTTATTATATACGACTTTAAATTGTATTATTATTTAATACCATAGTGTACTCTAATATATTTTTTTCCAATTTATTTAGGGTGTTGTTACTAATATCAAAGCTTCTTATGGAGTATTTGAGCTTGATAGCGAAACTCTTTTATATACATCATTCAATAGTTTGAGAACTAAAATGCCTGCTATAAGAATGGGATCAAAATTATTTATTTCAAATGCTCATCTTATTCATAATCAAGTAAGTGTTTTCAATTAAGTTAGTCTGTAGACTGATTTTTGTTTATTGTGATAATTTTTCTAAATATTGGGATCTTTTATATAAATAAAAGATTGGAAATCTGTTTTAAGAACAGCTCAAAGCAGAGTACTCTGTTTATTTGGATGCATTATAATTTCCCCACGAATTTACTAAATAAACTGACAAGGCTTGACGCTACATTCTAATAACTCTGCTCTCTAGTTATAAACTGTATGCTCTTTCAGTCAGTTGTAAACTAAAGCACCCTAAATGTAATCAAATGTAGGGATTTTATTAGTAGCATCATTAGGTCAGCATATTTGATGTCTTTAAACAGAGCATTAATTCAAGCCGAAAACAGGGCTTGATACTTAGCGGTAACATGTGTTATGGATCAATTCAACCTTCTAAGTCAATGTCATAACAAACTGCTTACTTCATTAGCGATGTGTATATGACATAATGTGGTTTCTCCTTTGACATGTATAAACAGACAAGCAATGGTGTGGTAAGAGACACTTCGACTTCAACGAGAACTTCAACTTTGCACTTCAAGCTGTAAACATGGCACGAGTGTACTTAACTGAATCACCAGATAACATGGGTTGGGTCATTTCAACCTTCCAATGCAATGTCATTGATAACAAGCTTAACCCTGTCCCGCCCCCATAAGGGGGCATCCGGGGACACTCCGAAAGTTCAAAGTGAGCGCAACAGTTCAATTGCATAAGCAAATATATTCACAATTTTCAAATTAGAGTTTTAACAAATAGGTAGAATATTAAATATGAAATCCTGAAAACAGTGCTACTTAGAAATAAACTAAATGCAAACAAACATTACAAAGAAAATAAACAGTAACTATTAGAAGAGATATTGATGTCGCATCTTCAGTAGGGGTGCAAAGTTAATAAAAGGAAACAATTTCGCATGGAAAATATAGGATGTTTGTAACTCAGAATATAATTACAGCTAGCACAACAGTACTAAAGGTATCAAATTCCATGAATTTTTTTTTTAAAAAAAGGCATATATATATATATATATATATAAACTCTAGGAACACAAGTGATTAAAATTTTCAAAATGAGGAATCACATAGGAGCAGAGATTGACAAAGCATGAAGTTAAAGCACAAAAAGCATTTTAAGAGAAAATTCAAGTAAAAATCAAACCACAACAGGTAAATCAATAAGCCGTGATTTAGGGTGCATCTTTCCTAACAATGGGCAGCAAAAGGCCATCAGGATTCAGGGAGGTGCCTTGTTACTTAACAATTTTCTTATTATATCCTCAATTCCCATTTTTATTTTAGGGTTTGACCAATGCTGCTTTATAAACTCATAGGTGGTTTTTGAATGAAAAAATTTCTCTCTAATGTGCTTAAAATTTGTACAAGGGATTAATATATGTTCCCAATCCTCAATAATCTGACAGGTACTGCACAGCTGAGCAATTCAATGTCATAGCAGACTGCTTCATTGGTTATCAATGTGTACATAATATCATATGTGATTTCTCTTATGACATGTATCAATAGTCAAGCAATAGTGTGATATGAGACAAGCAGTGGAAAATTACTCCTCTGTGTGATAACAATATTTATGTCATATAATAATTATCATAAAGTCAATGCTATGAAAATTACATAAAATATACAGTAATTATAATTTACATTATACATTAAGAAATTCAAATTAGCAACTAGATATCTTGATGTTGCTGCCAATCACTATGCAATCTAGCAACATGCTGTGTGATTACCTCAAGAAGTAAATGTATATGCAGCATAATTTGTTGAAAATTAAGAGATTGGCTCATTTGATGCTGTTGATCCACATATTTTGACAAAAATAAAGTTTAAAAGTAGAGAAAATTTCATGTATCATACTTTGAATTCACTAAAAAACAAGCAAGGTATGTGAATTAAAAAATAAAAGTTGCAACATTGAGGTTAGAAGGCACTTATGAAGATATTAACAGTAGTTTTCTATCTTTCAAATAATCCAATGTTTAGTTTCTAATATTTCAAATTATCCAGTATTGAATTATCTCTGTTTAAATTAAAGAGAGTTCATAATATTATAAATTTGATATATTAGTTAACAATAGCATAAGTAATTTTCTGTGTACAAATGTTAATGCTACTCTTTCCATAATACAACTATTATACATTAAATAAGTTAGTTAGAATTGGTTTTATTATTTTTCCCCCTAGAGCAAGCCTCTACTTGTCTGCTGTGGTCTATCATCTGTAAAAATTATTTCATCTATTAATTTTGAGGTAAAATTATTTGGATTACACTTTTTGTTAAAATATTTATTGAGATAAGAGTGAAAATTATGTAGACCAATTGAAAAATAAAATAAAAATAATTTTAATTTACTAACTATACAAATAGAATGAGTTAGAATGTCTAAGTAATATTTAAATGTGTGGATTTAAATACATTCTTTTTTAAATGATAATGTTATTTTTTCTACTTTTTTTTGTTGTTTGTTTCAGTATTTTCCAAATTTTAATTAGACGCTCTGAATAAATTTTGATTCTTAAGTAATAATGCATTCCAATAACTTTTTGTGACTTTTGAAAATTGTTTTCCCTCGAAAATTAAAGTGTGTGCTATTTTTTAATGTTTCTCGATAATCAATGCTAATCAAATTGAGTAATATTTTTTAGTAAATTTATTTTATTAATTATTTGATTTAGCTTCAGTAAAAATTTTTTCACATAGAATTTTATTTTATCACACAATTATGAGATAAGTAATAAAAATATTCCTTTTGTTTGTCAGTGCTTTGTTTAATAATAATTAAAAAAATGTAGGCTTATACACATATGCAATTATTTTTTTTTAAAAAAGAAATTAAATTTATTTACTTCTTATTTTTGTTTTCTTATTCAGGAAGAAAAAAATATAGTAGATTATTTTGTTTTAAATAACATGTTGTCGATTTATGATGTGTTATGGATTGAAAGTCTCTATGAAAATTTAAGAAGAAAGTTTTTTTCATTAATTCCTTTGGAAGAAATATCATTAGACTCAAATAAGGATTTATTGTAAGTTGTGATTAATACACCCTTTTTTAAAAAAAATCTTGGCTAAGAAGTATTTCGTCTATAATATGTTACACTATAATTACTTTCGTATGTTTCAGAGAAAATCTGTTAAGTGTTCTCTTGGTTCCACAAAGTCAGACTCTTTCTTTTGAAAAGTATAGTGTAGTTCAAGAATATTGTAGCTATCCTCATACTTGTTTGCCTTTTTCAGAAGTAAGTTTTAAAATAATTTCTCAAGCACATTGTATGTTTGTCGGTAAATGTTTTTTTTTTTAAATTAGGGTTGATTTTGTTTGTGATCCATTTAATACTGTAATTTATAGAATTATAGATATAAGGAATCTCAGACTGTTAAACAGAGAGTTTGCAGCATGTTTTCTTACCCGATAGTACATAAAAACTATTGTTTTGACCTGAGACACGTGTATTGGAATAGAATGCCACCATTGAATATCCTAGAATACTTTAAACTAATAAATAAAAACTTATATTATGTTCTTACAGTTCCTTCAGAGGATACACAACCCAGTTCTAAGACTTGTGTAATTTTCGATTTTGTATGCTAACTCTAGCTTACAGTGCTGGCTAAAAATATCTCAAATGATAAATGAATTCCAACTTTGTTATTAGGTTAGTCACAGAATGTTTGCATGGTTTTCTTAACCAAAGTGGATTAAATAAAGATAGCTATAGCTATTTTCTATTTTATTTAACTACTTAAAATTCAGTTACCACATAAGAGAAAGAATGGTTTGGTATTTTTTTACGCTATAAAGAAAATAAAAATATAAAGAAAAGAACTCCAAACATTTGGCTCTTTTGAGCATTTAAAATTTGCTGCTTTTTTGTAACAAATAAAACAAAGTTATATTTTAATAACATTTTATAATAGTTAGTCCTTATGACCATTAACAAATGCTTTGAGAAAAAGATAAAAACTGATTTATTGCATTTTGTATTGCTTGTCTCTTCATTGCTTACTCTTTCTAGGAGTTTAAGATAAAGAATTTCAAAATTGAGTATTTAATTTGTTTCCTTTTTGTTGGTGCTGCAATTTATATGTTTTGAATCACGTTAGCAATATGTAGTTGATAAAAAAAATTCAATGTATTTTATAATTATTAATGTTGTTATAATATATTCTTAAATATTTAAAAAAAATTATAAATTAAATGTGGATATTTAACTCTGAAAAATTACACTGGGAAAATTTCTTTTGTAAATAGGTACATCTTTAGTGTCTTGGTTTAAAAATAAATAGCTGCCATACATCAAAAAAAAAAAAAAGTTAAAGTATTACCACATTTGATTGCCTTAATTGCTTGGTCTATTTTTGCTATTTATATTTTACTTTTTTTAATATACTTTATTATCTAGTTTGAAATAATTTCTTAATTTATTATTCACGAAAGTAGTTTAATGTAATCTAAAATTATATTATGAGCCAAGTCAGGCACAATGTATGTCAACTCATTATAAGTAATCAATTGCTTGTAATCAAGATTATATAAAATCATTATTACTTGTAATGATAGTTTGAAATTAGTTACAGTTGTAACTGTAAAGTATGACTGCAAGTAATTAATTCATTGCTTTTATTCAATAGAATTTTTACTATCTCTTATAATTATTTTCATTAGCAGTGAACTTTTTAAGTATTACTAGAAGGGCAATCACCTGCTCACTTCTCTATCATTTTTGTATCTCAAGATTACTGCTTAAAAATAAAAATTTCCCCCATTTTTTTTCGAAACAATTTCAATTCTGTATTCTTAAGTATGTAATTTAAAACTAATAATTTTGCTAAAGTATCATAAATTTGTTTTATAACCCATAAACTTGTTTTATAAATTTTTAATTTTTATATTTCCCTAAAATCTTGTTAAGTATTTTTTGCTAAAAGTACTACTTTGAAACAAACAATTTATTTCTAGTCTTTCTTCGTAATTTTTTTTTTACGCACATGTTGATTTGACATAATTTTACACAAAAATTTATTGTTATTATTTTGTGTTTAAAAATTGTAAAACAGCAACTTTGTACTGTATATATTCCTAGTACAATTCAACTTTTTGAAATCCTTAAATTTTTATGAAAATCAATTGACTTATACGCTGACTATAAAGTCAGGCATTCTTTGAGCGTGAAATATCAATGCATTATAAGTAACTCTATATCAATTGACCTCTTTCAAAAACTATTTATAAGATGTTACATGCAACTAACTTTGCATTTTTTCTCACCAAATTTTAATTACATTTGAAGTTTTTTTTTAGAAACAATGCTTTCAAAAAACAAACATTCAACATTCAAAAAATATTAAGAATAAGAAAAGTTAAGATAATTTATTTACAAGTGTTTCAAAAAATACAATATAAGCAACTAGATATCTTGANTCCAGAACATCATCTGTGTTGAATTTAAAAATGTTAGCTGTGTCATCATACGGAACCCACTCTGCAATATATTCTACATCATCCTCATCTGCTATGATCCTCAATAAAACATCTTCACCCTCATCCAAAGAATTTGAAATTCCACATGTTTCAAAAGATTTTACAATAACATTTGAGTTCTCATTTTGCAACACTATTAGTATCATTTGTCACGCGACATCTTTAAGAGCAGCAGGGAAATTTCTTGTTTCTGTTAGCATTATTATGTGAAATTTTTATCATGAAGCTACAAATTTAAAAACTCCAGAACATCATCTGTGTTGAATTTAAAAATGTTAGCTGTGTCATCATACAGAACCCACTCTGCAATATATTCTACATCATCCTCATCTGCTGTGATCCTCAATAAAACATCTTCACCCTCATCCAAAGAATTTGAAATTCCACATGTTTCAAAAGATTTTACAATAACATTTGAGTTCGCATTTTGCAACACTCTTAGTATCATTTGTCACACAACATCTTTAAGAGCAGCAGGGAAATTTCTTGTTTCTGTAAGCATTATTATGTGAAATTTTTATCGTGAATTATCAAATCGGGAAATTTATTGTAAATAATCAAAAATGTAAAAATCAAGCAGTATTCCATATTAAGAATGAAGGTAAATTTAATGTTGCAGATAAATACATATGATTAATACAAACTTAATGTTGATGACTGCCAAAGATATCTGAATCTTCTTTTTTTTTAACTACAGTCAGATCATGTGATTTTTCAGTTTAATGAGAATGTAAGCACTGCAATCAAAAACAACAATTTTAGACAATTATTTTTTATGATGCACAAAGATTCTTTAAACTTACATTATACAGTAAGAGCATTTCAATCCTCTTATAGAATCGAAAACCCAAAGCAGATGTCATTCTTAGTCTTAAAGATATTTTAAAAGAAGCTGGTAAAAAAAACTCCTGGTTTGAAATCAGTGAGCAGTGGAATATTTCATTCACATCAGATTCTTCTAAGGTATGTTTTACTTTTATTACCCATATAAATTTTTTTTAATGAATACAGTAAAATCTTGGTTATTTGATGCTCAACTATACAACATTTTGGTTTTCTGACACCCCAAAATGATTTTCACCATTATTGCAGATGTTACCCAAATACTGTTGTGATGTTTAATCCGTAATTCGGCTGCTAGAAAAAAACAATTAAATAGAACCAAAAAATTTTTTATGGTTTCTTTTGTTTAAAAAAAAATAAAACAAAAGTGTTTAGTTTTTAATTTTATTATTGACACCACTTATTCTGGTTAGTTTCACTGATAGTTTACTGTTTGTATACTGAAAAAAATGAGAAATAGGTTCCTCTAATAAATGACAATTCTGTTTTTTTGCCACACCCCTGGTCTTCAGGGTGCAATATATTGAAGTTCTACTGTGTTTATTTTACTCAAAATTATGTTTATGTTGCCCATGTCTGAAGAATTTAGAATTCTTTATTTTTAATTTACTGTCTATGAAGGAACAATTTTAATTTTCAATTTATTTTTTACTATAATTTGAAGTTTATGTTTATTTTCCTAGTAAAACCAACATAAACATTTGTAACTTGTAAAACACTTATACAAAATTTTATTCAGCTCTTATGAATGGCATACTTGTCAAGAGAACATACATTAAGAAAGTTATTTTATAATCCTGTCTTTGGACTTAAATAATCTCTAATGAAGTAATTAATGTTTTTTATAACACTTTACTTTTTCTTCAGCATCAATAATTTGCTAGAAGTTAACAAAAAAAAAAATTGTGATGCTGATATATATTAAAAAATTATTGCTTATTTTTTTGATAATTGTTTTTATTATTATCTAATGTTTTTTTTTATTATTTATTTTTTATATAGCCATTGATAGGGATGCTCTACCTATCAGAAAATCACTGTTTGTTTATTGAAGACAGCAGTTTTTCTATGCCTGTGGTGCTTATTAAAGACTGTACTGATTGCTCTTTTGGTGATAATATCCTTCCAAAGTTCAATGTACCTGATTTTTCCCTGTTGGTCCTTATACAAGACTATAAAATAGTGTTTGAAAGTATTAAATTCACAAGTAAAACTTCTGACTATTCAATCTTTATAAGAACTTCACCATGCAGCATATACCCTTTAAAAGCTTTTAGCCGACCTCATCAAAGAACTAATTCACTTTCTGATGCAGTAATGAAAAAATTGACAATTCAGGAAAAATTTGTTTATGAAAATTTAAATTACGAGAGTGATTTTTTGTCACCAAACACTATAGATGTCAATCAAGATGTAGGACAAAAAATTTTAATTTTAAGTAAATTATGGTTAACTAATGTAGAACCTCCTGTGTGTTCAAGAATTTTAGCTTTAACTTTGCCTCAAGAAAATAATTATAATAATCTTAGTTTTCAAAACAATTCCTTTAATTTTTATGAAACTGAAGATGATATTGAATTTGCTAATTTAATCAATGGAATTGACAGCTTGTGTATCAACAGTGTACCAAGATTTATATCGTTACATTTTGAAAAAGAATATGAATGTAATTTATTTTTTCCTGGTCATATTTACTCAGTTGATTTCAATGATGTTTCATTTATGGGGAATAGCAAATCTGCCAACATCAATGAAGAAAAAAGTATATTTCCAATGAAAATGAAATCTGGTAGTAAAATAGTGCATTATTCATGTATTAAGGTAGGTTATTACTTTTATATTTTTATGTGTGTGAATCATAATTTTTTTTAGTAATCTGTTTTTGCAATTTTTACAATGCATTTGTCAAATGTCAGTGTTATTTGAATATAAAATTTATCTGGTGTTTCCAAAATTTTACATTCACCGAAAATAGATTGGTTAATGTTTGAAGTGTGCAATACAATGCATTCACTTTTTATTACATTTGTGATTCTTTATATACCTCTGTTTTATAATATCTATTATTATCTCTAAAGTCCACTGTTCATGTCTTTCAGCATTTACATATATGAAATTAATCTGTTAAGAGCTGAAAGGGTAGCTATTTTTAATTTTCATGAAAGTAAACGAAAAAAAAAAATAATAATAAATAAACATGCTGTAACCCAAAGAACTGTATTAAAAGCTTATATATTTTAAAATTTCTTTAAACTCCAATAACTGAGTTTGCTTTCTATATACTGGATTAGAAAAGACAAAATTTAAATATTGCAACACAATATATATATATATATATTATAATCTTTGAAATATGATTTTTCAATTTTATATTTATTTTTGTTTTGTTTTTATAATATTTCTTCATAAACTGTTTGTGATACCGTTTTTCTATGATTTTAAGCTGCTGCATATCTCAGTTATATTTTAAACTATCATTTAATTGAGATTGTGTGTTTCAGATTTCTTAGTTTATTTTAAATTGAAGATATTAAAGATTTTTTTTAATTAAAGTAAATTAAAAGTTTGATTTTTTTCTCCTTATGTTTGAGATATTTTGGGAAACCTAAAAGAGAAAATTTGCATTCCTTTTAATAAATCAAATTAAACTTTTTCTACAGAGAAGTAATATCATTTAGTCTGATAAATCAAATTTCATTTCTTTTTCATCCATTAAACTGAAGTAAATTATAATGAATTATTTCTAGGAGGATGATTTGAATTTGGCTGATGTCAAATATTATGGAATAAAAGAAATTCTCTTGCAAAAGTATGTACTTATATAGTAATTATCTGACTTAATTGCAAAGACATGACAGTTTAGATTGAATTTTGACATGTTTTAGCCAGGTACCACCAAATGCTTTCGTTCGAGGTGTATTAGTTGATAAATTTTTGAAAGAAAATAGAGGAAGCATTAACTGTGGTAAGTCTTTTTTATTTTTTGTTAGTTTTATAATGATCCAACATCTATTGATCTATTAATAACCTTTCAGTTTTAATTTGCTGTATGAATTATCTTTTGTTTTAATTTGATCAAATACTGAACTATATTTATTTCAAATGAAACAATTTTCACTAAATGCATTGCATAATATTTTTACATTTTCGGTTTTTAATATTGTATAAAATGCTTGGGGTAGTGTAAAGTTCAGGAGTAATGTTAATGTGTTATTATTATTTAGCAGAATTTCTTTTCTGGAAAAGCACGATTTTTTGTGTAGGTATTACAGATTGTCTTATCTATGAAGAAGTGTTTAGATTAAATTTAATGAAATATACATTTTTCATTTTAGTTTAATTAGTACAAATAATGAAATATGTTTTTTTTTTAATGAAGCATTTTTGCTTATTGCATAGTGCAATAGTTTTTAAACTTTTTGGTCTTAAAATTGAAGGACTTGAAGGTTATATAGTTACGAGTGACAAATTGTGTAAGAAAACATTTTTGTAATACAAATTAATTTTAAAAAAGAAACAACTCTTTGATTTCTATGCTGGAAATAGAATATTTTTGTCTGTTGTATAGTTGTAGCTGTGCAATGGAAATTATTAAAGTATTAATCCAAAAACAATACTAAGGAACAATTTAGTATAAAGTATCAATGCGTGTTTTATCACTACATTTATTTATATAAACATTTGAAAGACATAAAAAGTCTTTTTTTTTTCGTCATTTAATATATTCTGTTATTGTGTATTTTTATTAGTTTGTCAACATTTTGTTTCTTATGTTTAACTTCAATTAACAATTTTCTAAGGTTTTATTTGCAAATGTTATGTCTTTAATTTTATAAATACTTTATGTTAATGAATATACTACAAATGTGCTTTAATCTAAAATAAATGAGCTAATTAAGAACATTTTGTTGTTTGATTTTATTCTTTGGATTAAAAAAATTTTTTTGTTCATTAAAGTATAGATATGAATTGCTATAGGAAAAGTATGTGCAATAGTTCCTCATAACATCATGCCTTGTGAAATAGTGCATTCACTGCATTCACTCACATGTCACTTTTTATATAGGTTACTGGAAGAAACTTTATTGGAATTTCAAATAAATTGAATGAGGATTAGCATTTTCTATGAATCAGTAACAATTAAACGAATAACACCTAATCAATTGTTTATTGAAGGTAACTCAATTGTTGTTGAAGGTAACAATAGAGAGTGAGAATACACAAACTCCCATGTATGCATTGGCAGAAATGTTTATTGTTGTAACTGATGTAATACTGTTGCAAGAAAAGAATAGTTTGATGATTTTTTTTTTAAAATTTACTCAAGGCACTTCTCCTTATATGTGTTAAAGATTTTTTTCTTATTCTTCGTATAATTTTTTTTTTAAATAAAAATTATTGTTTATTTTTTGTAGAAAAATCTCTCCAAAGAAAAAAAACTGTTCTTTGCTTGTGCTTGAGGGACTTAAAAGAAATTGACACACTTTTTGTTTACATCCCACTACAGCTTCGAGATATTTCTGGTCTAATGCCTGGTACTATTCTAGAATTATATGGGTTTCAGTGTATTCGTTCTCAAAAAGGTTATTTATATCTTCGAGCATCACCTATCTTTGGAATTGAAGCTAGTACTTATGTGACGAGTAATTTGCAAGTAATAAGGTAAGTAAATACTTTGTTCATAATCTTTGCGTTACTATGTTAATTTTGCTTGTCATTTAAATTTATAAAGTAAAGCTTTCCAGCAACAGCCTATTGTGGGCCTGGTGTCGTGAAGGAGGAGACTAAGGCTACACAGTTTTATGACCAATAGTATGATTGCAGCAATGAGTATTGCACACAGGCTGCCTTTACTTCCCAAACAAGCTGTGCCCATCAATCTGAAGCTTGGTGGGCTTCAATGAGGAATTCAGTCTTAAATTTATGCATCTGTGCTCATTTATTATGAGCTCAAATTTAACTAGATTCCGGATTTATCGGACAAAATGTAATGACTTGTTTGGTACAACAATCTAAATCTATTAGAATGTTATCTCTTAAGTGAGTAATTTTTTTGCTTTTTCTCAGATTTCAAAAGGGAAATAATTTTAGAAGTGTGGAATTGTATCAGTAATGAAAAAGGTCTATTAAAAAAATCACACTATGAACTATCAATTGTTTAATATTATTAAAGGAATTTTGTTGCGTAATATTTGTGAAATGTTTAGTGAAAAGTTTTGGACTCAAAGAGGCACAAGAAATTTTAAGAGAATTCATGTTTCTCTTGTTCTCAATATAATTTGTAAATATCACCCCTTGTCGGCAGCGTTCACAAAGGTGGGCCCAGCCCAGAAAAACCCAGTGGATTTTTTTGGATTGGATCCACTTGAAAAATGCCCTCTTTATTCTCACTAAGCGGTTTTTTTTTCACACTTTGTTATTTCCAATTTTCTCTGCGATTCTCAAACCGAATTGTTCTTTAAAATTATCAACTTATTATTTTTTATTACTGGTTTTTGCAAACAAAATTATCTTGAACAAATGAGTTAAATACACAAAAAAATAAAGTACATGATTAAAAAAAATCTGGCTAAATTATAATATATTGCTTATCTATAAAACAAATTACTTGTAATCTGCATACACATAATACTTATTGCATAATTCAGTTGGTTTGTTAACCCTTCAGGGTTTATTAAAATACATATATCCATTTTTTTTAAAAAATGAATAAGATTTTCTTAGACAAGGAATGTAGAAGTAAATTTTTCAGTTAAAAGGAAATCTGTAATGAGTATGTTAAAAGATAAGACCATTATTTTATATTAAGATTTCTATTATAGACTGTATTTGTTTCCATCCACTGTACCTTTTGCAAAAATAATTTATCGATGAAGTTAAGAATATTAAACCCAGAATTTGGTAATAAATAAATAAATAAAAACATGTTTAGAATATCAGTTGAAAGCTAAAGCATCTCATCTTCTAATTACTCAATTATTCACTACTTCCTTTATGACAGCTGCACTTGAAAAAATATTTTCTGATTTACATCAGTTCAAACTGTGAAATCGCTTAGGGACTGAACAGTTTTTGTTACATTTAAATATTTCAATTATAAGAAGTTGAGAGAAACTTTCTGATATTTAAAATTTTTAGTTTATAAAATTGTCAAGACACTTGAGATAAAGTTTATATTTCACATTTTAACGAGTAATGTATTTTATTTAATATTTATAAATCCTTTTAGATTGCTAAGATTTTATTTGATAAAAATTTTGTTATTACAGAATAAAGATTAAATTATATAGCATAAATGAAATGTGAATGCATATTATAATTATTAGTTGTTCATGATGTATCCATTTGTACATAATTAATTAAATTTAATGAGCATTTTTATTAAATTATACTTGGAATGCTTGAAAAACAAATGTTTAATTTTATATATTTTTTTCATTCATTTTGTAAACAAAATGTATTAAAAAGATAATAGTTGATAATTTTTTGTGGATTGTAAAGCATACAAAGAATTCATCTATGATGGAAAATACAAATGAACATACCGTGAGTAACAAAAAGATAAGTGCATTACATTTCATGAATATTTACAATACATCTAGAAATTCCATTCATCAACTTTAAAGGACATTGTGTTTTTATCTATAATTTTAAACTTATTATGCTTTACATTTTACACAGAATCATTTCAATTACTTCATTATGCAATTCATTATACATTTAGAAGACATAAAAATGACTGAATTAGTCTCATAACTATTTCTTTTATTAATCCCTTTGGTAATTAATAATCCATTTAGTAATATTTTTTTATTGTGTAATATATCTTATGCTTATATTTAGTATATACAAGTATGCATGTAGAATATGCTTGAAAAACTCATATTAACTAAGCTTATGATACTCATCTTGGGTAAAATATGGTTTTTTCATGAAAAAGCCCGATAAATCCTACTTATCCCAAGACAAAAAAAAAAATTTTTTTCCATGATAAAACCAACTTGCGCTGGGTTTTTCTTAGAAATCTGTGTTCTGTGCATTCTGCCTGAGATTCTGGATATAATAGGTGCTCACCATTTTTTCAACCTGTTTTGTAGATCTAGCATTTTTGGCAGGATGCTCAACTACAAAATTTACTTAGCTTCAATAGATTGCTTGATTAAAATTAAATAAAGTTTTTAAATGTGAGACAATTAATGCAAAAATGTTTAACATATTTATTTCAATCTATTTCATCTTCTATTGTTTAAAATTCTGATCTTAAAACTGACAAGGTTAAATATAATTATTCATTTCGGATTTACATTAAATTATATTCAATAATTCAATTAATTACAATTTATTGTTTAGCAAATATGGAAATGAGTTCTATCAATCAGCAGTAACGGATGAACTCAGGAGATTTTACATAAATGCCTGTTTATTTCAAAAGTGTTTAAATCAGATATGCTTCATTTCGAAACTTGTGTCAGCTGAATTGTCTTTGTTTTGCAAGAAGTGTTTTAAAGATGCTCAAGAAATGTGTGGATGTTCATTTTCTTACAGTGTTCAAGCAAAAGCCAGGTATATAATTCAATCACACTTATTTAATTATGTATTGTGTTTTGATTTATGCAGTCAAAATGTTTAAAGACTTAATTTTTAAATTGCTTTGTTTTATTTCCTCTATATTATATGCACTCGTAAATAAAGAAAAAATATTAATTCCAACGATTTTTTTACAATTTGTTTTATTTATAATGAACTGTTTTAAAATTAGACGAAGAGCATGCATCTGAATATTGTTATGTTAAGAAGTTTTTCTACATTAAATGTATTAAACTTTTGAAAATGCCAGACTGAATTTTATTTCAGAAGCATACTATGCATAAATGAAGTTGCAAGTTATTTTACTAATATAAAATTAATATTTCCTATTTCATTTTAATTATACTTACAAAATACTATTAATACTTACAAATCATAAAAAAGACGGTCTTCATTCCTCTCTCATAAATCTCTTTTTTTTTCTGTTCTCTTAGTTATTTCTTATTTCTTCGAACCTTATTATTTGATTGGCATTTTTCTTTTAGTTCAATGGTATCATATTTAGTCGATACATTAAAATGCAAAATGTTGCTTTAATTGTGTATATAATTCATATTTAAGGGCTCATTTGACCAAATGTTTAATAAACATTTTAAATAATAAAAATTTTTGTTTTTTTTTAAATAATTTGTGTGATAATAAGTATTGTTTATAATAAGTGTTAAATAATAAGTATTGTTTATTTTATTAGGCTGTTGGGAAAGTTATTTAATTTTTTTATGAAAAGGAAAGACTATTTTCTTATAATGAATGAATATTATATTTAGTTATGAATTGCCTATTTTGATCCAATAACTTTTGACTTCTTTCTAAGACTAGCATGATTCCAGACTCTTAGAATCTTTGTTTTATGTTGTTTAAAAAGAAAAAAGAAAGAAAAAAAACAGATCCATGTGATTCTTAAACTTTGCTTTGAGCACTGATTCATCTTTTTTACTTCATGATCTCTTGCATTTAAACATTGTTGTAGACAACTTATCTCTCAATTCCAATAATTATACACTTCAAAAATGGATAATTTTCTTAGCGTTTGAAAAGCAAATCACAGTGCAATTTCCTTTCCATGTAGACATGAGGGACCTATATGTCGAGCTTTGAAAAACTTGGGTGTTACAAATTATCTTGAATGGTCGAATTTAATAAATTTAATCCCTCATTGATCTCACGAGTTGTTACTCACTGGTTTGCATCAACATATGTTTTTATCATGTCTCCATCAGCTTAATCTGACTTTCCAGGCAGCGGTGCATCTACCTCATAAAAGTTGTTGGATCAAAATTTTTCAAACACTGGTGTACTGTCAATACATGTTTTCCATATACATTGGATATCTTGCTTGAATAGCAGTTTTACATTCCCAATAGTAAAATATGCCAAAAATGCTATTTTTCACTTTCCATATTTGAAAGCAATATTCATTTTCATTATTTTGCTTTCCATATTTCCAACCAGAAACTACTGCATAGAATCAGTCAAACTTTTTCACTAGCAAGCCTTGCTATATCAGCTGTCATTGCTTTCTGAACAACCCATTATGTATGTTGTCAAATCTCAATATTGCAGGTTTCCCACAATCCTTAGAAGTCCTTAAAAACTGCTTAATTTTCATTTTGGAAAATAAGGGCCCTTCAAAGTACTTAATTTTGGTACAAGGTTTTTAAAAATCCTTAATTTTTCAGCATCATTATTTCTAATATTAACTAGAATTAGACCATGCATCCAGGTTAGACAGGTTTAGGTCATGCAATAGGTTTATGATTAAATTCAGTGCATTTGTAGAGATTTTTTAAAGTTATCTTGTCCACCTTTGTGAATTCTTCATATATTTTTTCATTTCTGTTTGCATTGCTTATAATAATTTTTATTTTTGAAATCTGCCTTTTGATATTAATACAACCTTGAATTAAAAAAAAAATAGAAACTAAAAATTCATTTTGGTTGATAAATTTTTTGTCTGACATTAAACACAATGTTTTACAAAATTAAAATCTCAATTTTGCATATTTCTCTTTAGAAAAATGAAATTTTACCCTTGCAATCAGCAATCACGTTTTATTTTAAGGTAAAATTATATTTTTGAAAGAAGTAAACAAAAGTAAATTCATTAAAAGTGATATTTTTCTTTGAATACTTATGTTGTCATTAATTTGTGAATTTTGCTCTATAAGAAGTGTAAATCATGTGACGCCACACTAGGCTGCTATGTTTCTATTAAATATTAATTATTTGCAAAGTGATTTGAGAAGTTTTGTCTTTGAGGTTCTATTTGTTCTATTGTAAACTGTTATGTGTAGTTAATGTTTAATATGCTGTAGTTAACATTTTGAATATTCAACTTAGTGCAATCATTGATGATGGTAGAATCCAACTTTTATGTTACTTTCGTGAAGATGCAGTCAGAGAAATACTAGGATTCAATATGGAAGATTGGCAGACTTTAATTTCTAATATTGAACAAACACATGTACCTCTGAAGTATAATGAGGTATGGTTATTTTTTTTTTGTGTTTTATTTAATAAATTCAATCTTTTGGTATGATCCTTATTGACTACCCTACTGTGACTATTACCCTACTAATGTAAAATTCTACATAAGCTGGATCAGGCCTCATTAGTTTAACAAAACATTTCTGGGATAAAGTGTATAAACTTCATTCAAACTGCTATTTTTTTTAAATCTAATTTTTGTAATATTTATATACCATTACTAAAAATCTTAATGAATGTAGAACCATAATATTGTTTCAATTTGCTGTTACCATAGTAGAGTGTTGATGCCGAATTTAATCAATTTACTCCTTAATCACCTCCATTTTACTCCTTAGTTAGAAGCTCACCTTAAATATGGTAAATTCCCTACTAATGTAATATTCTATATAAGTTGGATCAAGCTCATTATTTCAACAAAATGTTTCTGGAATAAAGAAAATAAACTTCATACAAACTGCTATTTTTTTATCTGAATTGTGAAAAATTTATATTTCATTACTAAAAATACCAATTAATGTAGAGTCATAATATTTTTTAAATTTCTTGTTACCATAGTAGAGTGTTGATGTTGAATTGTATCATTTTACTCCTAATTCACCTCCATTTTATTCCTTAGTTAGAAGTTAACATTAAATATGGTTAACACCCTGCTTAGATTGTAATATATTGGGCTTTATAATATGATTCTTGAAACTAATTTTTCTATCTAGGTAGTTTTTTTAGACATATTTTTATATATCTANTAAACTGCTGTTTGTAGAAAATGCAACACCATGAAAGAATCATCAGAATNCGCGCGCCACGCACGCGCGATGGCTCTGAAACTTTATTAATTTGCATAATATCCTATAATTGACATTTGCTGCGAATTTCATTTGATTCTGATGATTCCTTCATGGTGTTGCATTTTCTACAAACAGCAGTTTAAATCCATTCTCATATCTATATTTTTAGAAATATTTGTTCAGGGTTTGAACCCACAATTTTTCTATAATTAACCATAATATTACTTTATATGTTTGAAGAAGTGTTTCTCACATAATTATTTGGTGAAAGTCAACATTCACTCCGTAATATGGTTTAGAGACATAGTATTAACAATTTTTGATTTATAATTATTCAAATTTTTTTTTTTCGTTTTTATTCTCCGAAATCTGTCTTGGTACATTTTGTTATTTTATTAATACACTGAGAGTCTCTTGCTGACTCTGCTCTCCAATGTCCATGATTGTATCTCATTTATTAAGGTTTTTATTCTTAAATATCGATACTTTCCACAAAAAAGAACACCTTAATAAACTATACAATTATTATAATTTTATTTAAGAATATTTGGTTAATAGGTTAATCAGAAGAAATAATTGATTGTAGGGATTGTGAAAAATAATCAACTGTACTTGAAAAAAAAAAAAAAACTTAGGATTGCAAATTTCTAAACTCAATAAAAAGTAAATGAGAAGTAATTTTACCGGTCAGTGAGACTTATATCATTATTTAAATAGGAAATGATTTTTATCATTCTTGAATTAAGATTTTTGTTTTTCAAAATTTGTAAAATGTTAAGATTATTATATTTGCGTGGCCACCACTGGCAACTATTTGCAACTCAAGTCAAGGGGAGGTGACTATGACTACTATTTTTCACAAAACTAGAAGACTCCATTCGCCAACCTCCATTGTTGCTTCTCATTCATATTGGGGTTTTTTTCCCCTTAAACATAAATATTTTCACAAAAGCATAAAATATTTTGTTTTCAAAATATACGACCATAGTAGTTTTATGTAAGAACATTTTGTTAACATGTCACTCATAAGTCATGTTTTTTTGCCTTAAATTATTAACCAAAATAGATAAAAGCTTATTTTACTACATGCTTTTAATTCATCATTTTGTATTAATCTTGTAAATTTGAATCATGGCATAGCTGCCAACTGTTCGGAATTTTTCAGATTTATTTCTAATTTTTAAATCAAATCTGAAAATCTGATATTTTTATAAAAAATCTGATTTTTCGTAAAATTGCAGTATTTTTGCTTTAAAATCAATCCCTTGTTTTGATCGCCACAAGCGCGCTTCCTATGATTATTTTGCAGAATTAATTTTTAGTAACTTTTTATTGGAAAATACTATTCCAATAGCTGATCATTTCACTAAATTGAATCTTAAACAACTATTATTATTTTTAAAAAAATGTATTGTAGTATTTAAACACTTGCATCAGAAATATTTGTTTATGACGTAGATTATTATTTACCTGTGTTTTATAATTTGGAAAAGAATAATTATGTATTAATAGGTAATGGTTGTTTTTAAATTATTATACAGGTATTCCTAATTATGAAATATTAGTATTATAAATTTCCCGCAAAAGATAGTGTTTATAGTTTTGTTTTACTAATTTACATAAGGTATTTAAATATATGTCTATTAATGTTATTATTTAATAGCTAAATTTTTGTCTTACTCTCGTAATTGGTGCATATAATTTTGTCGCATATAGTGTTCCTAATTTTTTATTCCTAAGGTTGGCAACTATGTTATGGTTTCACACAAGGACCTTGAATTTCTATGAAATATTAATCATTTGAAATTGTAAAATCATTTGAAAAGTTTGATAGATTTATCAGAAAATCTTTTGAACATCTATGATTTAAGGTTTAAACATCTTTATTTGTTTTTAGAAAATGAACATAAAAGATATTTCAATTCTTCCTTTAATGAATCAGATTTTCTGGGTTTACTGCTTGAATGGATCAATTAAACGACAAATGATTGTATCATTTTACATCTTTCCCTGTTCAGGTAATTTTTGTGTTCATTCTAAAGTTTTTTTATTATAAATTTGTTATATTGCTACAAACAAGTAAAACTTGTGTTACAAGCAATATGAGCTAATAGCATTAAAACAATTTATTGTATTTACGGAATCCCTCATTTTGAATTTGTATTATTGTTTCTTACAAGTAATTTAATACTCTCTGCTAGCTTTGCCCTTTTTTATAAAAAAAAATAAAAAAAAAATTAGGTTTTTGATCATTAAAAGGCAATTTTGTAAGCTGGATGAAAGTAAAATAGAGAGAAACTGTGAAGTTCGTACAACGTAATTTTTATACAACACAAAATTGCTTGAATTTTACCAATTGAAAAAAAAAAAAAACGCATCAAAATAAATAAATAAAAATTGAAAATTTAATCTGAGTAATAAATAAATTAAAAAAAAAATGTGCTTGTTTTAATCTTTACCATTTGAATCATTTGGAGCTCATTAAAGTGAGTCAACAACAAGCAAATTAAGTGAACTATAAATAATATTTACAAAATTCTGCATGAAATCAAATATGTTGCATTTTAAATCATGCTGTAAAAGCTAAAATGAAAGATTGAGAAATGGGAAAAAGATAAACTTTCGTGGTGAAAAGCAACGATAAAAATGATGTGCAGATAGATAATACATTAATTATCAATTCTAATTAAATGCACTAGGGCACATTGATGTTTTCTTTCTCAAAGGAGGACAACTTCTATTTTTTATCCCTAAGTATTGACTAAATTTACATTAATTATCAATACAAATACATTAATTATCAATTCTAATTAAATGCACTAGGGCACATTGATGTTTTCTTTCTCAAAGGAGGACAACTTCTATTTTTTATCCCTAAGTATTGACTAAATTTGGCTTTATTAAATGAAGAAAAAATTAAATTTGATTTAATTTTGTCTGCAAGGCCAAATAAATCTATGACACCTACCACTGATTCATGCTAGTTTTGTCATCAGTCTTGGTATGTCGGTATCTGTACTGTAGCTGATATGTTATCGCTTTTGTTTTCAACTTAAACTATAAGTATATCAACAATCTTCAAACACTTATATACTTAGAATAGCAATTCTGTTTTTTCATGCCTGCTTTTTTTTGTGACAGATACAATTTAACCTCATTTCCTTATCAAGAGGCTCAGGCGAATTTTTTAGTTGTAGGCGATTTTCTAGACTAACTATAAGCTTAATACTTTTCCCATTTTCTGAGGGAAATCTTTTAAAATGCATAAATCTTTTAAGTGCATAAAGATTTATTTATGTTTACAAACAAATCTTTAAAATTGATAATTAAATCTTTAAAAGCTAAAGGCAAAAAAGGTACTTTCAGGAATTCATAGTAATCACTTTTCTTTCTTGCTATTATTTATTAAGATTTATTTATGTATTCGATTTAGTATTTAATTTTTTAAAATATATTATGAAATGGAATTCTAGTTTTCTATTCTTTTAATGTAATATTTTTAAAACTTCTTTTTCAGGGTCCAATGGAGATTCTTCATTTTGTGCTCACTGTGTAGATGTATGCAATGTAACTGTTAAAGATTGTCTGATGGAACTTTATGTAAATTTTAAAAAGTTTAAAGATCATGATTTGTGAGTAAATGACTAATCAAGTTGTTTTTTAATGCCTAACTATATATATCTGTGATAATTTGCTTTGTAAATATTTTTGACTTGCTTAAGCAAAGAATGTCTAAGGGCATTTTGTTTGATTTTTCAGTAAACTTTCTCCTTTTTCAAAAAGTTACCTTCAGCAATTCATAGTATAATTTTTCTTTCTAACTATTATTATTGGGTCATTGAGGAAAAATTATGATATTGCAATGAGTTTGTGTTAGCGGGTACAGATTGTACTTAAGGGAAGAAAATTAATGAAGAAAAAAAATGAATTGAGAAAAATAATAAAAGGAAAAAAATAATTGAGGTTTTAAATTCCACTTTTATTCATCTGAATAAGTTTATGTCCATCCTATATTGTTTAAAAAAAATTCTTCGTTTTTATTTTATTATAAAATTTTTTCTTTTTTTTTCTCAAATAATATTTTATCAATCACATAATTATTGTGGCTTATTTATGATAAAAACAATTGCCTTATTTATGAAAAGTTGAGCCTTCAAGCAATGACACCTATTTTTTTTATCTATTCTTAATCAAATTAAGATTCAATTTAATTGCTTTGTATTTGTAATTTCTATATAACATGAAGGATATTGTTTTAAAACTGTTTCACATTGTTGTCAGTGCATTCTTATTGCATGGTAAAATCATGGTAAATAGTTCAAAATGTGTAGCTTTTTACTAAAAATAATGTTTCTTTATTATTTTACAAAATAATTGTTTGACATCATATTAAGCTACATTTAACAATATTTGAATTGCTGTTTTATTATCATTGAATGATAAATAATTCATATTTAATTTTTGTTATAAATACTTAAGATTTTATGTAAAACTGGGCACAGTAACTGGCATATGCAATTAATGTATTTATTACAAAATAATTCTTTAAATTTGCCAAAAAATACTGGGATTGATCTTTCCAAGCTTCTCTAGTAAAATCAGCAAGTTGTTTTTATTCTAATTGGGAATAAATTTAAAAAGCGAGTTTATGAAGGATTTAGCAAAGTTGCCTAAATTGAGCTAAGGGATTGTTTTAAATATCTTCCAATTAGGGAACAAAATATGTGTTTTTATCTTGATTTATAAATTTTTTATTGATCTTTGTTTTAAGGAAAATATTTTATTAATCAGAGAACAAGAATGTGTTAAACTCGTAATTTTATTTTGGAAATCATTTGAAAAATGATTTTTAATAATAATGGTTTTCTGATGTCATACTAAGTTGTTTATATTTTTTATTTATACTTTCATTTAATCTATTATTATGAAACAATCGATTTCTATCGTTATATCTAAAACAAATTTTCCAGCGTTCCACTTCCCTGCCTCTCAAATATCTGCATTTGCAAAGGAATACCTTCTGGTTATCTGCAAATTTCTATGAAATCTAGATTAACTGGAAAGGAAAAAAAATCAAGATTCTATTATATTTCCTTTCTCAAAAGAAACTTAAAATAATTCTTTTTAAACTGAATAATAATGTAATGAAGTTTGAACATTATGTCTGTTATGAAGTTTTCTTTTCCAGAATTTTCAATTGCTTATTCAGGGTTGACAAGTCTTTGAATTCGGCTATAGGGTACTTGAAAAGTACTTGATTTTTTTGGAATTAAAATAATACTAATCTTTCTTACAAAAGAGCAGTAAAAAAAATAATAAATAAATTCAAATGAAAATAATAGAAATTCTGGTAGATGCAATTTTTAATGCTTGAAGTGAAAAGAGGTTAAAAAAAGATACAAAATTTTTCTCTCCTAGATTTTTCACTCCAGATTATTGTTCATCTCTGCTGTTTAGAAAGTTGAAATTTCTAGCAAATTTTAGTTTTTGTTGTCATAGTTACTGAATGATAACTAGTGTTTCATCGATTTAGAAATATGTTCCATGTGTTAACTTCATTATTATGACAAGTTAATATTGTTATCCTATTTGTTTTTTAGTTTTTATTAGGCGGATCGTTAATTTGTTATCATATAAAATCAGATTTTTACATTTAGTTTTTACTGCTAATAAATAAAATTTTTTTCTAGATTTCATGATTTATGGATCAGAATTCATATAAAATGTTCTATGAATTGGGATTCAAATGAAAGTGATTAATGAATTATATATCAAATGTTGCTTTAAAGTGATTTGCAAATTACTCACCAGGATTCATATTAAAGTATTTTATAAATCACACATCATGATTCACATTCAAATGATTTATCAAACACACATCATGATTTCAATTAAAGTTGTTTCTGAATCATGTAACGTGATACATATTTAAGTAATTTCAGAATTGTGCATCACAATTCTCATTCAAGTAGTTTACATGGTATTAGAAGGATTTAAGAATTACGCATCGCGATTCACATAAAAGAGATTTAAGAATTAACGCTTGCAGCTCTTATCAAAATGATTTCTGAATCACACATAGTTGTTCTAAATTAAGCAACTTTTGAGGCACAAATTACAATTTCCCTCGTAATGATCACGATTCACAGGAAAATTATTAGCTAATTATGCAACAGAATTCACATTAAAGTGATTTATCTCACATCATGATTTACATCTTGTAAGTTCCTGCGTTTTGTAGCAATTGCTATTCATATTATTCAGATTTAAGAAACATACACCACAATTCAATTTACAAATTGTGATACATGATTTACGGAATCATCGGGACTTACTTCACCCTTCTTATAATTTTGATTTACGTATAGTATATCTAGATTTGTATAAATGTGATTTTTAAAAATTACGCATGCTCATAAAATTTTAAAAATCATGTTTCGCATTTTGTGGATTTATTTGAAAGAAAATAAAGCTTCGTAAATCTTAGTTAGTTATCTGTAAAATATTGTTCTACAATAGATTTTATTGTGTTCAAAATACATTACTGATATTTTATCTAATTATATTCATTTCCTGTAATTTAAAATTTGGATTTGACATATTAAAAAAAGTATTAATATTTTAATAAACGTGCAGTTACATAAACTTAATCAATTATTTACTATGCTTGTTTAATGTAATATTATTTTTCATTAATTCTAATTTACTTCATAAAATTTTATATGAAAAGTTTCACTGATGCTAGTTTTTAAATGTTCGCTAGTGTCAATTGGAGTTTTGTTAGTCAATTTATGTCAATTGGAATTTTTCAAAGTGAGTTGAAGCAGCAATATAACTATCAACGATTTGCATTAGTAGCTGATAAATTAAATTATTATAAATATTATTATTTTGTCAAGGAAGCATTGTGCTTTGAAAATATACAATTTCTGCTTCAACATAATTATAAAATCTGGTTGACGTGTTCTTTAGTATATTAACTGTAATACTGAATGGGTCCTTGAGTAATTTGATTTTATTTCATTGAAAAGTTCTTGAATTTTTTTTTCGAAAATTGAGTGGGAACCCTGTTATTTGAATTTTATTTATATCCAAAAATTTGTGTAGTTTTTTCCATTTAGAGATAAAGATTGTTGTTTATTGTTGTTATTTGTTGATTGTAGATAAGGAACATTGCTTGAAACTATTCTAATAAGTATAGAAATGTTTTGCTTAAAGAGAGATTACTTGAAGTTTTTCTTAAAAAATTATTTTCTTAATTATTAAATTATGATATTTTATTACTGTTTCAAACCTACTTCTAAAGCCTTTTGACAATACAAATTGAACTTAATAAAAAAAAAGTATGTTTTTATCACTACTAATTTTGTTACATTTTAAAGTTATGTTTTTGATGGTTATTAATATGCTGAAAATTGACGACAGAAATTATGTACTAGCATATTTTTTTAAAATTTTTTATTGTTTGAAGTTTAATAAAATTATTTAAGTTTTGCAGTTGAAATATAATTTATTTTATATCTATAATACAATTGTTTCTTCACAATTATCTTTGTTGTCCCTAAGTTGGATTTTATATTTATTTCATTAATAATAGATAACTTGTTATTGTTATTATTATTAAAGAAAAAATATATATATTTCATTAACAATAGATATTCGTATTAATTGCAAAATCCTAATTGTGTTTTTTTCATCTATATAGGAAGTACATTAACAAAATTTTAATTTCTCATGAATCTGGTGCTATATCGAAACAAATATAATGTTTCCATTAAAAGCCTTATATGAGCTTAATTAGTTTACATTTCTTTTTTACAATAATAATAAATTTAAGGCTCTAGTTATGATTTCTTTCCATCTTCAATCCTTTTTGATTTCTTGAATCTGAAAGAACTGACAAAGAATTTAACCAATTAAAAGTTTCATTAACTGTTAGTTTTGAATTTCACCTTTCAAATGTTAACAATTGTTTTTGACAGCCGGTTCATGGATTCATATCGTTTAAGATATTTTTCCATTCTCTTAATATTTTCAACAGAACATTAGAGCGAATTCCATACTTCAAATCCATATCTTTTTTTTCTCCTTGCCTTATAGTTGAACTTCTATCCTCAATATATATTTATTGTCCTTAATTTTATCTTACAAGTGTTAATTTTATTTTACTATCACTAACAGCAAATGATAAACAAAGCTCATCTAGCAACTTCAATTAGAAATTAATGAGATAAATCTTAAGGCATACTTTCATTTAATATGTCATAAAGTGCAATATAGATGTTGACAGTGCAACTAATACTGAGTGAAGGGGTAAGAAATCGCTACCTTGGTTGTAATATTCGAGATATCGTTCTCAAGTCATACTAAAGTATTGACTATTAACCTGATACTTATTTTCTTAGCAAAACTTTCATTTCCAAAGTAAAGCTTAAAATGAAATTTATTCAATCTATGTTTCACAAATGATTTGTTTCTTGAAACTATTGATTAACTTTAAAATGCATATTGGGTCATGTTTTATCAACTATTAAGTAATACATTGGCATACAAAGCTAAGCATTATATTTATTAAAAATTATATTTCACTGTAAGATTTTTTAATATTTTTTTGTATTAATTTAAATTTAATAAATGTGTAGATTCAAGAAACTTAGTTGCAATAAAAACAAAAAAAGACACTGAATTATTTTCAATGATCTGAGCAGATTTTCACCCATTAAGATGCAAATTTCATTCCTTAATTATCTTAAAAAGCAAACTATCTTTCTAGCTAAGTAGACAACAATTTGATCCTTAAAATCTAAAATTATTTTTCATTTCTTTTTTGTATCTCGTTGATCAACTTACTCGAAAATTCACTGAAAAATGTTTTTTCTTAATTTTGTAAACTTGTTAAGACTATTTAATTTTTGTGCTTTATGGAATTTTACTCTACAAGGATGAAGCAGCGATTGTGTTTTGCAGCTATATAATTTTTATAAGTTAAAAAATCTAATGCTGGGATTGTAGTTGTTCTGATTTTTAACATTTCATACTGATATTCTTGATTTTTTTTCTTCTCCAGAATGTGCCATTTAGACTAATACATGATTTTTATAAGAATCATTTCGTAATTTTTTTTGTTACATTTGTTTAAGTAGAAAAGAAATGAGAAAAACCACTGTCTGTCAAAACCAGTATGTTTTAGACATTGATAGGTGTTTTTTTTTCATTTGAACCAAAAAAGTAAAATTTGAAATATGTATCAAATGCAAAGGAATCGGCATGAAAGACTGTACCTTTTCCTCAGCTAAACAGATAATTATCAAGATTGGAACCAAAATTTTCTTATTAAACCCCTTCCTTCTTTTACCCCTTCTTTCTCGCTCTTGTCAAAATGACAGGGTTAAGTTTCGACCACAATTTCTCTGCCTGTGATATTTCCGAGCTGGTTTGTTCAAAGTAAAGCATGAGAATGATTAAAGCAATTGATTTCTTATGCCTGGAATCATGTTAACTTTATGTTTATGAAGATAATTATATTCAAAGACTTTCACTAATTTTCGGTGCTGTAGTTATAATAGACTACAAATCCTATTCATTTTGGAATGCTTGTATCATCTTTTTATGTTAATTAATAATGATAAAACTTAATAATTATTAAAAATAACAAACATACAATATCTCGAGCTTAGAAAATGTACACTAATTGTCATCGTTCCGACTCAAAGTCTTGTTTCATGCTTTAATTTTTGATATTCTTACAAGGAAAAATTTTAGCACTCTTACTGTCAAAATTTTTTTCTTAATAAATACAATTGCTAATTGGAAAGCAGTGTTTAAAGAAAACAATTAAGTGCTAATTGAAAAGTGACGTTTAACAAAAAATTACTAAGTTTTTTTTTTTAAACACAAAAACTTTTTACAACTAATTACTAAAATGTTTTAGTTGTAATTATTTTTCCCTTGTCCTGTTTGGTGGTCTGTTAAGGACGGAATCTTAAGAACGAAATCTGGATCACTTTCCGATTGGGTTTATAAAATTTTGTAGTTCTGTGTCAGATGACAATGTAAGTTTTAATATTTTTCTAATAGATAATAAGCAAAATTAATCAAGATTTTATCGACATTAGGAATTGAGCGTCAATCAAAATGCCGCCCTTTTTAAGATTAGCTAGAACATTAAAATTTTAACTAAAGCTTTGTACTGAATGAGATTGCCAGTTTCAATTGTTTTCACGTTGCTAAAAATAAAACTTATTGTCATATTATCTTTAAATAGAATTTATCATCAATCAAAATTCATAGAAGCTAATAGGCTTAAATTGATTCCTTTTTGCTTCCACAATTTGTCTTAATACAATGCAAGCAGAATTAACTATCAAATGCTATCCTGCGTCCGGAAAAGCTAATGGGATACCTGCAAGTGAGTAGTGTGGTCCTGATTGGTTGTTGAAACGTGGTGTTTGTTTAGGTTATCAACTGTTCTTTCCACTCTATTTTGAGTAAGTCAAGCCCGTCAAGTATCAATTCTCTTAAGTGACACATTCTAAATTCTTTCTCAAAGATTTCTATTTTTTTTTGCTATATATTTATACAGAATTGTAACACTAAGACAGGCAAGAAACCATGTGGAACATAAACTAATTAAGTTGCCAGGTATACAAAACAAAAATATATCATGGTTGCAATAAAATACATAAACAAATAATAAATCTAAGTTAAGTGAAAGAAGTAGATGAAAAAGAATTATATTACAACTAATTTGATGTTGATACAGCTATGTATTTAATTAACTTCTCATTCGTATATAATATAATGTATTTAATTAACGTTTTTAATATATATGTATTTAATTAACTTATCATTATATAATTAACATTCTAACTTATGTAGTGTTACTTAGCTCAAGTTTTTTACATCATTTTGCTGATAAAGATTAGCTGTTCAATTCCGATACTGATTCATGCAAAATTTTCTTTGACTCCAAACTCCAAAACCTTTGTTTTCAGGCAGGAGTTTTTTTTTATTATTACATTTTCAACTGACTATAATAATATACAAAATATCATTGAAAATTGACTAGTCCTTGATTCTCGCAGTAAATCTGAATGAAACTGGATTATTCCATTTATTTCAAAGGTGGGGAAAGTAGAATTTACTGCTCATGCGTTGGAATTTACTCTCATCAGGGTTGTCATACATAGTATTTTCAATAATATGTATGGCAAGTATTGTTTGACTAAAAATTAGGGATGTGGTATTTTTTGTAGTATTTTTTTTTAAAGTGTTGTACTTATTATTTTTTTTAAATCAATTCTTACATCTGTGACCGGCAAAGTATGAAATCCAGCATTATATATAATGCCTAACCGGCAAAGTATGAAATGATTTATATTTCACACACTGCCTAGGCATTATATATATATAATGCCGGATGCTATTTAGGCAAAGTATGAAATAAACGTCCTGATGAGGTTATTATGTAAGTGATATGCATGTTACTGTGAATGACCGAAATCGGTGGTTGTTGACTTTCACCGATGAATGTTGACAATCACATAGTAGCTTTGGTGAATGTCCAAAATATTTATTACATCCGAATTGATGTTAATTTATTCTTGTATATAATTACATTTATTCGATATTTTAATACTTACTGGCGATAGATTAGAAGAAACATAAGTGTTTGGAGTATCGGGCAAATGTATACCGGGAAGTGGCCCTTGACCTTAAAAAAACATCAGTGTAGGCAATGCCGGATTTACGTATAAGCTAAATAAGCTGTAGCTTGGGGCCCCGAGATGACAAGGGTACCCAGATCCTACATTCCCCTCTCTTTTTTTAAAGTTTTATTCAGAGCTGGGGCCCTCAGAAGCCGAAAATGCATTTTTTTTTCTTTTTTGCATTGTCGGACATAATAAATATAAATAAATGACTGAATAAAACAAAAAACTTCGTTGTCACTAGTAGGGTACATATCATCTTTCAAGCAATTTGAGTATTAATAAATTATTTATAAATAAACAATTTTTTAGTTTAAAAGGTAAAAAAGTTTTTTTTTGCCCCATCATTCGATCATCAGACTATTTAACATCTGTTTCTAAGGANTTAAATATATAGTGGCCCAGCACGCCAAATTTTTACTCTGTGCTTAAAATGTGTTTCTTTTGTAATTTTTTCCCCTCGTTTAAAAAATATGTGCAATAAAGGAAAGGTTCTACATAATAGTCTCATCACAATTAATATATTTAACAATAAAGTAATATTATCAAATTTTTTAATAATATAATGTTAATACTTAACAATAAAAAAATAGTGGCAGTTTACTTTAGGTGCATAGAAATGGTTGTTGTTGTTAATTTACATCGTACTAAAGCTGCACAATGGGCTATTAGCGACGGTCTGGGAAACATCCCGGAGGATGATCCGAAGACATGCCATCACAATTTTGATCCTCTGCGGAGGGGAAGCATAGAAATGGAATTGAACTTATAAGGTCCCCATCATTTTCA